ACATCACCAGAGTGGCACCCCCCTTAGTTTGAGAATAGCAACAAATATGGATATGCTCACAAAGATTGTGCAATTTTTATAACGTTAATATTATTTTATTAAATGTATTTTTAACGTAACATTGGACGTGTTTCTTACCAGCATGTGCGTGATGTAAAATGTTGTCATTGTCGATTTTTGTCACGCCCTGCAGGCAATGCCAACGCAATCCTAGAGTTCGCCATCGTGAAGCAACATCAAACTATCTTGCTACCCTGTCGTACAGACTGCCAAGGAACTGTTAGCGATATTCGATGGACTATATTAATTAATGGTGAATATAAAGACATTGGTGATTCTCTTGAAAACATAATTGGCAACACCAAATACATTGACAACAAAAACGCTTCCATGACCGTCGAAAATCATGACTGGGAAGAAGAGAGATGGCACAGATGTGAATGGTCATGTCAGAATCAACACTCTAGTGACATGTACACTGCAACATATTTTCTATTCGTCAAAGGTACGCAATTGAACACACGAATTTGACGCAGAATCTACTAAAAGGCACAGAAATTACCAAAAGTCACAACGCGTTTTCTTTATTAATCTATTTTAACTGATGCAAATTCAATGAACAGAAGCTGTAATCATTACAACTCAGTAAGCTAAGATATACGATTGTTGTAGGAGTCGATTACTCCACCGATAACACTGGTCAACACAAAAAAAAACATTTTTTTCTGGCCTGGACTTTTGCATCTGTTTTAGACTAATGTCAGGGTGCTGATTCCAAATCTGATCTCAGATTTGCTCTATCACATCTCATTTTTATGCTATCGGCATACCCCATTTTCATTGATTTTACCCGAAATTAACTCTGTCACTTATGATTGCAAGTTGTTGCGAGTCAGTGACTGCTTTAGTGTTAAAATATGGTGCTGTATTTTTAGGATAGTGTGTTTATAATATAATTTTATGTAGATATCCACATTTATTTAATATTTTTCTTCTGCAGTTTTTATTGAAAATTCAATATTTGATTTCTCAAAAACCTGATGTGATAGACAAAAACTGATGCCATATTTGGAATCAGCACCCCAAAATTACCTTAAAACCGTTGAAAAACCTCATGCCAGAAAAAGTGTGTTGACCAGTGTGATCAGTTCGAATACTCGACTAATCAGAAAATACTACAAGTTTGGAACAGAAAAGTCTCACCTCTGTCCACGCGTGTGCCGCTGGATGGGAGGTGATGGGCGAAGCGTGTGATGCCTTTTGGCATCACCAGCATAGCTTGTAGGGAGTTTCCTGCCAAACGTCTTGTGAATGTCCTCTGCAATGAAGGACTTTGGCATATTTAATGGGTTTTTTTACTATTTCAAATGTTCAAAAATAAGGCACTTGTGATTTGGATTTACTTTTAAAGACAGAAGGGGGAACACATACATTCGAGAACATACACAGGTTAGTGATGTTGTTCAAACTGTTAAGGACAGTAAGTTGACTTGGATAGGACACGTGACGACCTAAACTATTTTATCTAAAATATTTTTTATTAGCGCTATTTCAGACGTGACTTGGCCACAAATGATAGTGCAACAAAGTGGCTTATCACGCGGCCCGTTATAGAAGTTAACTACTCTAAATGCCTGCTGATTCGAAATGTGGAGAGAAAAACTGGAGGACCCAGAGAAAATTTACCCCACCACGAGGAAAGAGGGAATCAAACTCTAAATATGCAGGCATCAAGGTCGTGATCGAACCCACGACCTCCTGTATACTAGGCGAGTGAGTATACAACTTGAGACCAGATGACTGGGTGGGGCTATTCGGGGTATGGGCGGGACGGCGTGAGTAGTGGGCAGGGCTACGTGAGCAGTGAGTGTAGGTGGAGGATGTGGCCAAGATCAGAGGGTGTGGCCAAGATCAGAAAGCGTCACTGTGTGGGTGGGGCTAGTGGGTGAGTAGGCGTGGCTCTTGAAAAGTGGGCGGGGCTGATGGAGGGGCTGCCGGCCCATCAAGTGTCTGAGTTGAGCTTCGCAGACATTTGGGCGCCTGAGACAAAAGGGCACACGGAGTTTGACTATTAAATCAATGTTGGTGATATGTGCTTATGTATGTCTGCAGATTTTAAAACGAACAACATTATCCAAGCAAAAGTTGGTGAAAAGATCTCGATTCCCTGCCGAGGCAATTCTGAAAGCAGAATCTATGGAAGCGTTAAATGGTACTTTGCTCTACCAGGACAACCATACTACCCCGTCAACACCGTCAGTGGCAGAAAACTCTCCATCGATAATAAGAAATCACTTCTCATTCACGATCTCCAGAGTGGAGATGCAGGATTTTACCTGTGCGAGCTGAACAATCCCCAGGAATTTTATGAGACGAAAGTCAACATAATCCAAGGTAATGCACGAAAATGAAGCTACATTACGACACGTGGACACAGCTTTAGGTTATGAATGATTCTGAAACGTTTTTCTACACTTTTAAGACTTCAGCACTAATATAAAAAACATAGCGGAGTGTAAATCCACAAGTTTCCTGTTACACTCCTTCACAAGTGACACACAAACGTGCTAGCCAGTCGCCTTTGGTGGAACCAAGACTTAAATGTGTCAAACGTCAAGCAAATTCCCCAAATGACACAATTGTGACTGCATGTGTAGTGAGTCCAACTGAGTCACAGACGTAAACTTGGGAGCAACACTATCTATTAACACAACAACACGAACACAACACAACCTACGCTCGGGTCTCGAATGCCCATCTAACCACGCTACGGCAGAACTAGACACGGTTCGCTATCCCGGTCCGGACCACAAGCTAGGTCCCGGACCGCGTGGCTAGAGGCATCTTCTCCCCGACGTGGATCTTCGAACACCAACTTTTGAAGAACCCCGAGCTCCTCACGGAGCTCTGGTTATATGATGCTCCCGGGCTGGGGTTGGCTCCACCCTTAGCCCCGCCCACCTTCCAGGCTTCTCGGGCCCCTTCTCGAATGTTCCCGAGAGCTCTCCTAGACCACGTGACCGCCCCTCAGCCCCCGTCCACCGGTGGCCCCCCTCCAGTATCGTCCGGTCACGTGACAACAGGTCAGCCAGAGTGTCATGCCCCAGAGTAACCCTGGCTGGCTGTTGCTCACTCTCACTCCCTCACTGGGAGCCGGCACCCCACACTGCTCGCGGGGCCTCCACGCTAACCAGTGCTCACCTAACCACAGCTAGTGTTGGTACTGCAGCCCGCAACCCGGGCTGCCCGCAATGACAACATTTCCGGCCGTGGCTTCGCAAGTCCCGGCACCACACAGTGACCGTTTACAGTCACTACACATGGTTACAGTCATGGTTTCCACCATATGGAGATACTACGATCCATCTTACATTAGGAGATCCACAATAATTATATTGCTTGCAAAAATATCGTTACGTCGTGGTTATTTTGTCTGCAATTGCAATTGCAAATAAGCTATTAATTTATAATTCCGCTTCGTGGAACGTTTTTTTGTAAAATAATTTATATTGTTCAGAATAAATGTAATTAATTTTGTGCGGAATAGAAAATAGGTCGGTCGTAAAGATTTTAGATTGGAAAGTTGGCATGATAAGACTCGTGGCTGGCTTGTGTTTAGTGAACTGCAGTTAGGGAGCGTTCACGTCATGAAGTAAATCTTCATCCGTGCCGGAAGTACAGAAAGCATGAAAAATGCAATGAAATACATTTACAAACTTACAAGAAACATATATCATGATAATCGTCATATCGTGAAATTTGTTGAAACTGCAAACCTACTCATGAGTGTCAGATTGTCATAAGCTGGATTTACGACGTCGACATATATTAACAAATTATCCGAGAAGAGGCGCTTACCTTAGTTTTAATAATAGTATTCGCGATGGTGTTTGAATGGAAATACCCACAGGAATATCATCATCAACCGTTCTTTATCCATTGTTGGATGAATGTGTTCCCAAATTTTCGGTACTTTCCCGATAATAATAATTCAAATGTATAATGCGCATTCCATCTCAGGATCCTAATGTGCAACAAATTAAACACAAAAATCAGTTCTAACGAATTAAGTTTGTCGATCTAGATTATGATTTAAAGTGCATAGCTCCCAGTGGCTTCTGAATATCGGAAAGAAGAGCGTTCCAGATGGACGCAAAACTGCATCTGAAGGCGCCGTGCGATCCGGTGACCACCGTCTTTGATCGATGGCTGAGCCAAAAGCCGCTGCTGCTGCAAGGATGACCGGAGTTGCCGTGATGGTTTATGCTCCTCTACGAGATCAGCGAGGTGTCGTGGTTTATTTGTGACAAATACTTTGTTTGTAATGAGTGCGACATTATAAATATATAAATAATATTCACTTACTTTTCACACCAATGGTTGTTCCAGATAGATGCGCACTGGATTACTGAGCCAGAATGGCGCGAATATCACATTTTAAAATATATAATTGTGAGCTATTCGGGACAAAACGTACAACGCCGTAGGTGCTTGTGCACAGGCATGTCCACGTACACTTACACCCCGTGCTCTCTTTTAGCCCCCCCCCCCTTCCAATACGTTATCATGTGTAACAACAGTGACTTACGCACAAACACTTACACGTCGACGCCTACGAGCACCTCGTGCCCTCTTTTAGCCCCGCCCCCCCTCCCGATACGTTCCATCCATTGGCTACCACACTCAGATAAGCTCCTCCCCCCCTCCTCCCCTCTTAACTTGTATTTAAGAGCTTGCATCTTGAATCCCTGCCTCACTTGAGGCAGCAAATCTGGCTCTGACGGTCCCACCTGATGACGGAGACTTGTGTTGCCTCCGAAACGTCGTGATTTTTATTTTATTTTATTAATTTTAATTTCATTTTTTAACCTACGTGATTTTACTGAAAGAACTAAGAGTACGTGCAACACGTGTTGGCGAGTGCCTTAGCAGTAGCAGTCTTGCAAGTGCCGTGGTGCTGACATTCACAGTCGCACAGACACACACAGCTCGAGTTAGGATCTGTCCCTCTCTGCAGGACCATCTGGAGTGGACCTCACCCCGGTGTACATCGCTGTCTCGGTGGTCGTGTGCACAGCGATCGCGTGCGGGGCTGCCTGCTACGCCCGGAAGCAATGGAAGATCGGGGTCAGTGTTACCGTTCGCAAAGCCCCTACTCACGCGTAGACACCTCAATGCATTGCAGGTGGCACGGAGGTAGCGGCAGAGGCTGTCAATCATCCCAGCTTGTACCAGAACATTCTTTTGGCATTCTCTGGCCATAAAAAAGGCTCTCTGTAGTGTAGGTCACGCAGTTTCAAAGACAATACGTATATTTCAGATAATGTTTGTTTGCAAGTTCACAACAAGTACTGTGTGTGGTTAATGCAGACTTTATTAATGGCAGACATCATAACACTTCCTGTTTTATTGCCGCAAAGGGTAAAACCTGTTCTTATTTTTCATAGTTCAATTTTCAGGACAAAAAACTGTACCTGTGTTCTGAAGCTTTTATTAAAATTATACATCAATTAAAATATAAACCAGGATTCGTGCGACGGCAATGTGTGTGGGGCCACGTCCCCTGTGAGCATCGCTGTAGAATCAACGTGGGGCTGACGTCGAGTTGCTGCCAGCTCACCAAGTGTCCCCAATATGCCCCCACTCCCCCCCCTCCTTAATTAGCAAGAGATTGATTTACACAGATATTGGTGAGAGTGCACATTTGCTCAATAATTTGAAAGATGAAAACATCAAGAACATATTGGCATCTGATTAACAAAGGTGGGCTAAATTGGCAAAGACCGATGCCTTTTAGTCATCTTGGCAATATTTAAATCGGTCCAAAATGTGTGTGTGCGTTTAATAACTCTCCGTGTGTTTAACCAACAGAGGAGCAACAGGGCAGACTCGGCCACAGACAACGCGGACCGCACCTACACGTCGCTGACAATTTCACCCGCTCTCTACGAGACCATCCATCCATCGGAAACGGAAACTGAAGAGGAATACGCAGAAGTCACGTTCATTGGTAACTCCCTACGCGTGCTGTAACGCGTGTTTTTCACAACGCCAATCGGACATTACGCGATGGAGTGAACGGAACTACGTCCCAGCGCCAGTAGGAATACGCGGTGGTACGGCTGCCTCGGCATATCATTGCACAACAAGGCGGGATACTGCTGGATGCTTTCTAGATGCTACCCACCACGCGCCCAAGTCTTTGTTCAGCCTGCGTACGCATCTCACGTGTTATCGCAGGCTGTGTTTTCTCTATATTAAATATTATAACGCGTTTTTCACGGACGCAACTACCGTGTTATAGAATAATAGACTGTACAGTCTTTAACGTCAGTTCACTGATGGAGAACGTCTCACCAAAGCTAACAGATCGTGGAGGTTATCCGGGCTATACCGTAACACACGGCTGTGTGTGGACATGGTGAAATGGTGAAGATCGAGAGCATAGACTTTAGCGAAGGGTTCAGAAACACCAATGCATTCCTCTGCACTGGTCTCTACAACACGAGTACAACTCTTGAATACTCGCCGAGCTTCTCCACACGACTTGTTAGGAGGATTCTGCATTAACTCATTAGCTCGCTATATTACCACTAAGGCTCGCCACATTACCAGAAGGCATGTGCATTACTATCAGGGGAATGTTAGGTGAAACGGGAGGCTTAGGGTTGGGACATTTACGTATATTATCCGAAATTTTCTCATAGAACCCAAGAGGGTATTGTACTACTGAGAAAAAAATGGAAAATAAAATAAGTTATTAAATGGGCAAAAATAAATGTTTTTCATAATATTACCCACACTATGATGGCAACGTGATATATGTCATTAACTTAAAATGAGATACAAGTTAACGGTTGCAGATTACAAACAACAACGCTTCACCTTTAAGGTGCCCCGCTGATGAACCTCTTGCTTTATTCTTCTCAACAGGCGAGTGAATGTTGCGTCATCAATGGCTCCATCCGGGTTGGTTGAACTCTGGCTCCCGTGACCTGCAGCTGGCTCTGAGTAATGGGGTCACTGGAGCCGTGGTCTGTGCAACTGAGGTGACTGGAGGTGAAGTCACTGGAGGTGACGTCACTGGAGCTGGGGTCACTGGAGCTGGGGTCACTGGAGCTGACGTCACTGGAGCTGGGGTCACTGGAGCGTCGAGGACTCTAGAGCCAGTCAACGTTCTGGAGCAGTTCTACTATAACCTGCTTACCGTCATATTATGGCTTTTTAAGTTTAAGTAATTGATTATTTAAATGAAGCACATATTCATCACTAACACTGCTTTATAAATACATTGGGGGCAAACATCATACTGTAAGAAGCGCATTTTTTTTAGCAATTGTCCATTGTCATCATCCGATAATAAACTTAAGTAACATTTGTAGTATTTTCAATTTTGTAGATCCTATTTTGCAGTCTGGAGCCACCTAAAACATTCGCGTCATATATTTTTCAATAGCCAGGTAGTATTAATGACAAATGTCATCGTTTTGAATGCAATTTCCCTCTAATCGGATATGCAATGGGAATTATTTCCGGAATAAAAAAATAAAACTCGTCATCTTATTATTTAAATTGACAAGTGTGTTGAGTTTTTGTTCCTTGGTAGTCAAAGTGCAGTCTCAGCAGCCTTCACCACAAGCTCTCAGTCGTGGTGGCGGGTGGAGTAATGAAGAAGAGTAAAAGCCAGGTGCCAGAGAGATACCGATCCAGTTAAATGACAACAGTTAAACGCGTGCAGCTATTACCACGTTGATAGAGTGTAAATAAGCAAGCAGATGGACATCAAGAGTCGCTAAAATCGACAAACTAAGAACTATGTTTTATTTTACCAGGTAAGGCCCCACTCAGCTATGTAGCTCTTTTTCAGAAGCGACCTGGCCACAAACGATAGCTCAATTAAGTGGCTTATCACGTGGAAATTTATAGCAGCCACAAGTTTATTATAAATGTGGAGCGGCAAAACTGGCGGACCCGGAGAAAAACCCACACGACCATGGCGAAAGAGAGAACATGCAAACTACAGCCCCACCAACTTCTAGCCCTGCCCAGTGCCCCCTCATGTCGTCACACGGAACCTCCCACTCCTAGCCCCGCCCACTTTCCCCTCCTGTCTTCACAACGGAACCTCCCACTCCTAGCCCCGCCCACTTCCCCCTCATGTCGTCACAACGGAACCTCCCACTTGTAGCCCCGCCCACTTCTCCCTCATGTCGTCACAACGGAACCTCCCACTTGTAGCCCCGCCCACTTCCCCCTCATGTCGTCACAACGGAACCTCCCACTTGTAGCCCCACCCACTTCGCCCTCATGTCGTCACAACGGAACCTCCCACTTCTAGCCCCGCCCACTTCCACCCACACGAATTCACAGCAGCCTCCAACTTGTAGCCCCGCCTACTTCCCCCTCCTGTCTTACCAGCTCCGACCTATATAACTTGTCGTCACGGCAGCTTTCTCGCCCATTTCAGCAGTTTTCGTGCTGTAAGTTGTCTCACCTGATGACGATTGCTTGTGTTGCGATCGAAACGTCGTGATCCATTTTTTATTCCTACGTGACTTTACCGAAAGAACCAAAGAGTATGGATTCCTGCAGTCACGAAAGCTTCAAATCAAGATCAAACTACACATATACCGGCATCAAGGTCGAGATCGAACCCACGACCTTCTGGATACCACTTGGCACAGATTTTGCTCCGGGTCCTCCTGTTTTCCTTCCATATTTAGAAACATGCGTTTAGTTATTTGGCAGCTATGAAAGTCCACATGGTCGCTTCATAGAAAGAGCTGTTGAACTATGTGAGCATTCCCTTGTAGAAACAAAAAAATAGTTTAGTTTAAGTTTGTTTCATATATGCTAAGTGAAATTTCATATCTAAAAAATATTACCGTCGGGAAATTTACGAATAGGTTATTGAATAAAATAAATAAATCAGATTCAAATTTACATTTTAAGATAAAGCGTATTTTGTTTAACGAGGTGCAAATTCAAGACACCAGGAAAGTCATCTCACGTGCAAGAGCTTGGGCCTAGATTCCGCCAGGAGGGGGCGATGGCTGCAGTACGGGCAGTCCCCGACTCGTTTGGAAGTCGGCAGCTTCGTAAGCTGCAACACAATAACGTAACGGATTTAAATGTCCATTCGGTCAGTGCTATGAAATGCGTTTTGGTTAAACACAAAAGGAAAGCATTGTTAAACTCATTCATAAGAAATGTTGTACATTTGCATGTAAAACTGTGATAAAATACTGTATCTGTATAAATTAAGACCTTCATCTGTAAGCCTAAAACGACCTCTAGGGTACTTCGATACATGGTAGAAAGCTGAAATTTGGTACACATGTAGCTTTTAGGACACAGCAGAAAAAAATCAGAAAATCCATAATTTTTTATTTTAAGGCCCCCAAATCTCGATTTTAAGTGCCCAATAACAATGTTTGTGCATGTCATTCAGAAATCGTTCAAATATAACATTGTGTTTTTTCGTTTGATAGAGCGTTAAACAGAAAGTTTAATTAAAGCGAGAACCATTGCCTATATTATATTGTTTTCGAGATCTTTCTGATTAACGCGGTTTTGAACAAAAAAATATGCATTTTGTGACGTTCAAATCTGCATAATTCGAAAACGGTGAAATATGGTGGCTACCACTCACAGAGAATTAAGTTAATACATTTTTGTTCTTTCCATTAAAAAAGAACAGAAACTTTACTCAGACGTTGCCCACGTACACGAGCTAAAGAAAACACGACTTTACGTGAAAAGGTTGGGTTCATGGATATATACAGAAAGTGGTCAGTAAGCCACGGACAAACACTGCACTGGGTGTGGGTGGTGAATTGGTCAGGGTTCAAGTTCATTTATTAGGTATAGCCCTGTGAGCCATGCGGCTCTTAAGTCGGGTGCAACCGCAACAAACAAAATATGAACACAGAACGTCTTAAAGCGACGACACGTAACAGAAACATCCTGGAATAAACCAGCAAATTTCGATTTAAAGCTTTCGTGACTGCAGGGATTCATCTTCTTGGTTCTTTCGGTAAAGTCACGTAGAAGGGAAGTAATAAAATAATAAAAATAAAACATAATAAAATAATTCTCACGACGTTTCGGCCACAACGCAAGCAGCCGTCCTCAGGTGAAAACCAGGTCCGTCGAGGCGACAGAGTCTGAATGAAACAGCACACGAGCTTGGAGCATATATATAAGCTGGGCGCAGAACCAAGAAGATAAACCAGCAAATATTAAAAAAACGTATTAAATGCTGTGTGTAAAAATCCCAATGTGGTGCAAGTCAACAATAACAACCATAAGACAATTTAGATTAACCATATGTTTTCGAATGATCAAAATAAAGCTATAAAAACTATGTAACAACAGTAATCATAGGAACTGTCATTCAAAATTTAACAATAAACGATATGCATAGCACGTACGACCAAAATTGCAGCCATAGCTGGCAGCATGACACTCCCAGTGTATGATGTGTGAGTGAGTCAGTGGTAGTGTGAGTGAGTGTATGATGTGTGAGTGAGTCAGTGGTAGTGTGAGTGAGTGTATGACGTGTGAGTGAGTCAGTGGTAGTGTGAGTGAGTGTATGATGTGTGAGTGAGTGTATGATGTGTGAGTGAGTCAGTGGTAGTGTGAGTGAGTGTATGATGTGTGAGTGAGTCAGTGGTAGTGTGAGTGAGTGTATGATGTGTGAGTCAGTGTATAATGTGTGAGTGAGTGTATGATGAGTGAGTCAGTGTATGATGTGTGAGTGAGTCAGTGGTAGTGTGAGTGAGTGTATGATGTGTGAGTGAGTCAGTGGTAGTGTGAGTGAGTGTATGACGTGTGAGTGAGTCAGTGGTAGTGTGAGTGAGTGTATGATGAGTGAGTCAGTGTATGATGTGTGAGTGAGTCAGTGGTAGTGTGAGTGAGTGTATGATGTGTGAGTGAGTCAGTGGTAGTGTGAGTGAGTGTATGACGTGTGAGTGAGTCAGTGGTAGTGTGAGTGAGTGTATGATGTGTGAGTGAGTCAGTGGTAGTGTGAGTGAGTGTATGACGTGTGAGTGAGTCAGTGGTAGTGTGAGTGAGTGTATGATGTGTGAGTGAGTCAGTGGTAGTGTGAGTGAGTGTATGATGTGTGAGTGAGTCAGTGGTAGTGTGAGTGAGTGTATGATGTGTGAGTGAGTCAGTGGTAGTGTGAGTGAGTGTATGATGAGTGAGTCAGTGTATGACGTGTGAGTGAGTCAGTGGTAGTGTGAGTGAGTGTATGATGAGTGAGTCAGTGTATAATGTGTGAGTGAGTGTATGATGTGTGAGTGAGTCAGTGGTAGTGTGAGTGAGTGTATGATGTGTGAGTGAGTCAGTGGTAGTGTGAGTGAGTGTATGACGTGTGAGTGAGTCAGTGGTAGTGTGAGTGAGTGTATGATGAGTGAGTCAGTGTATGATGTGTGAGTGAGTCAGTGGTAGTGTGAGTGAGTGTATGATGTGTGAGTGAGTCAGTGGTAGTGTGAGTGAGTGTATGACGTGTGAGTGAGTCAGTGGTAGTGTGAGTGAGTGTATGATGTGTGAGTGAGTCAGTGGTAGTGTGAGTGAGTGTATGACGTGTGAGTGAGTCAGTGGTAGTGTGAGTGAGTGTATGATGTGTGAGTGAGTCAGTGGTAGTGTGAGTGAGTGTATGATGTGTGAGTGAGTCAGTGGTAGTGTGAGTGAGTGTATGATGTGTGAGTGAGTCAGTGGTAGTGTGAGTGAGTGTATGATGAGTGAGTCAGTGTATGACGTGTGAGTGAGTCAGTGGTAGTGTGAGTGAGTGTATGATGAGTGAGTCAGTGTATAATGTGTGAGTGAGTGTATGATGTGTGAGTGAGTCAGTGGTAGTGTGAGTGAGTGTATGACGTGTGAGTGAGTCAGTGGTAGTGTGAGTGAGTGTATGATGAGTGAGTCAGTGTATAATGTGTGAGTGAGTGTATGATGTGTGAGTGAGTCAGTGGTAGTGTGAGTGAGTGTATGACGTGTGAGTGAGTCAGTGGTAGTGTGAGTGAGTGTATGACGTGTGAGTGAGTCAGTGGTAGTGTGAGTGAGTGTATGATGAGTGAGTCAGTGTATGACGTGTGAGTGAGTCAGTGGTAGTGTGAGTGAGTGTATGATGAGTGAGTCAGTGTATGACGTGTGAGTGAGTCAGTGGTAGTGTGAGTGAGTGTATGATGAGTGAGTCAGTGTATGACGTGTGAGTGAGTCAGTGGTAGTGTGAGTGAGTGTATGATGAGTGAGTCAGTGTATGACGTGTGAGTGAGTCAGTGGTAGTGTGAGTGAGTGTATGATGAGTGAGTCAGTGTATGACGTGTGAGTGAGTCAGTGGTAGTGTGAGTCAGTGGTAGTGTGAGTCAGTGTATGATGAGTGAGTGAGTGTATGATGTGTGAGTGAGTCAGTGGTAGTGTGAGTGAGTGTATGACGTGTGAGTGAGTCAGTGGTAGTGTGAGTGAGTGTATGATGAGTGAGTCAGTGTATGACGTGTGAGTGAGTCAGTGGTAGTGTGAGTGAGTGTATGATGTGTGAGTGAGTCAGTGGTAGTGTGAGTGAGTGTATGATGTGTGAGTGAGTCAGTGGTAGTGTGAGTGAGTGTATGATGAGTGAGTCAGTGTATGACGTGTGAGTGAGTCAGTGGTAGTGTGAGTGAGTGTATGATGTGTGAGTGAGTCAGTGTATGATGTGTGAGTGAGTTCAGTGTCGGCTCCCTCTGCTCGCGCCTCTTGCCCACCACAAGCGGCCCCACCAGCCGCTGGGAGCGCACGCCTCAGGCGGCCATTTTGCTTTGGATGTGACCCTCCAGCCAGCAAACCAGCGAGCAAAACTGATTTGTGTGAGTGTTAATGCGACTCTCGGATTTGCGACGATCTGCGCTCCTGTCGACGAGATAATGAGCGCTCTATGTTCTGCCAGCCCTAGCGCACAGCACCTCGCGGTCGTAGGCTTCAGGTTCAGACCGCACGTGGAAAACGCGTCGAGGAGGGAACCGCAAAACACGAGCACCCAAGCGAAAAACGTTCCGCGCAACGCCACGATGGGGAAGTTGAAGGGCCGACGTTTTGAATAAAACGGCACACGAGGAAGTGAGGGCTGAGCAGTTGGAGAAGAGTCCGTCGAGAGCGGTCTCCCTGGGCATGGCCGCGTCGTGCTCTGGACCAAGTGCCGCCTGTCTCGTCGCTCTGTGGGCTGCTGTCGTGAGTGGTACGTTACATCAACGCTGCTGCCCGTGAGATGATGGCCTCAACTTGGTCACCCATGCCTGCACTTAATTCCATTAATTCCAGCGCTGAGGATTAAAAAACATAGGTGTTACTGGCAGGTGAGGACAATTACTCATACAAGGAGTGGGGGGGAAGGTACTACGGGTCAATTACGTGAACCAGGTCACTTAGAGGTAACTCTGTGAACTCACTTTCTGTGGATCGTACTCTAACGAGAGCAGTTGGCACTCCCTTGCGAGACATTCGAATGGATACTTCTCATGACACAAGACCGATAGCGCAAACGGGATAGCAATTATATGTTTTATTGTATTAAATGTATATTGAAAAAGGGCAAATGTCAAGTACGGTCGAAAATGATCAGTGGTGGGAACTTTGTTTTGTGCCGATGAACGCATCTTGAGAGGAGTTATCCAATGACACTCGCCAGTTTGCAACGAAACCAACTCTCTCATTCACTCATCACAAGGTGCCTTGGGGGCAGGCTGCGCCATCGGAAAGCCAGGTATTGCCCAATAATCCATCAGTGGAGGTGCTACCCGATGCCCGCTACCAACTGATATCTGAAATCCGATCTGCCAGCGACAGCTTTAAGTAAATGATTGTGCTGAACCTTCCTACACTTTGAACTCCTATCGTGTTTTCGCATTGTTTGTTGCTGTTGTTGTAAATTTCTGACCCCATAGCCCCCTACTGAACTTCTGTAAAAAAAGAGCTTTATAGCTCATCGGATTCCTCAAGTATGAATAAAACGATCAAAGTTCGGGGTAAGCAGAGGCAGGGGGGAAGTTAGCAATCGTGCCCATTGTTCTAATCGTCGTGACATTGGATAGAACTGACAACCTCTGGATCAGCAGTCCCGTGCGCTATCCAGCTCACCCGAGTGTCACCTTAGTTTGATAATAGCAACAAAAATGGATATGGTAACAAAGATCGTGTAATTTATGTAAATCATTTATATGTTTTAAATGTATCTTTAAGGTAACATTGTACGTGTTTCTTACCAGCATGTACGTGATGTTAAATGTTGGTGTGTTTTATTTTATTTTTGTCACGCCTTCCAGGCAATGGTAACGCCCTCGCGAAGCATAATCAAACTTTCCTGCTGCCCTGTCGGACAGACTGCCAAGGAACTGGTAGCGACATTCTATGGTATACACTCTATAATAATGTTTGGGAACAGATTAATTCTCGTAAAAAAGAAATAGGCTACACCAAATACATTGACAACAAAAACGCTTCCATGACCATTGAAGATCCTCAGTGGGAAACAACTATATTGCATAGATGTGAATGGTCATGTCAGGAACAACGCTCCCGTGACAAGTATACGGATACATCGATTCGACTAATAAAAGGTAAGTTATGGATTATGCAATTGAACACGCGCACTTGACACAATCTCAGAAAAGGCACAACATTTAACAAAAGTCTCAACGCGTTTTCTTTATTAATCTGTTAAACTGATGCTGGTTCAATGACACAGAAGATGTAATCATTACAACTTAGTAATGCTATGATATACGACTGTTCAAGGAGCCAATTACTCTCCCGATTATCCGTTCGACTACTCAATTAATCAGAAAACACTAAAAGTTGGGAGAGAAAAAGATAAAGTTTCAAGTCAGTCCACACGTGTGCCGCTGGACGGGAGGTGATGTGCTGAGCTTGTGATGTCCTTTGGCATCAGCAGCATAGCTTGTAGGGAGTTTCCTGCCAAACGTCTTGTGCATGTGCTGTGCACTGAAGGGCTCTGGCATATTTAATTTTAGTTTTACATATTTAGTATAAAAAAATAACGCAGTTGTCACTCCAGAAGATAGATTTGAATCAGTGCATACGACCTGCTGTGACATGTGGGTTGTAAAGATGGTCATGAACAAAACAAGTGGAACAGAAGCTGAAGAGTGCACAGAAAAGCACGGAGAGATGTAAACACTTTAGTTTACTTTAAAAGACATAATGCGGAACGCATATATTAGAGAACATACCCAGGTTCGTGATATTGTTCAAACTCCATTGGATCCTCATTTGCCAGTAGCAAAATATGATAATTGTTTTTTTACCCTTTTATCTGGCAACAAAACTGACACCTTTTTTACAAGGAGTCATGTTTGCATTGACCACATTCCGACTGCAGGTATTGTGGTTAATGCAAACATGACTCCTTGTAAAAAAGGTGTCAGTTTTATTGCCAGATAAAAGGGTAAAAAACCAATTATCATATTTTGCTACTGGCAAATGAGGTTCCAATGGTGTAAATGCTTACCCCGAGCTCTCATACTCTGATAGTGCATTGTCCTTGAGTTGTGCGCCTTTCAGCGTCATCTGGTCCAACACCATGTGAGACTAGGCTCTAACGAAAGCTGTCTCGGGTGTGGACCAATCAATTTCAAGGACAGTGCATACATTATCAGAGTTGTGTTTTTTGTTTGCATTCCGACTGCAGGTATTGTGGTCAATGCAAACATGACTCCTTGTAAAAACGGTGTCAGTTTTGTTGCCAGATAAAATGGTAAAAAAACAATTATCAAAGTTCAAACTGTTAAGGACAGGAAGTGGACTTTGCGTAGGACACGTCACAACATCAACTATTTTATCTAAAATATTTTTATATTTTACTAGGTAATGCCCACTTAAGTATACTGCGTTTTTTCAGACGTGACTTGGCCACCAATGATAGCTCAACAAAGTGGCTTATCATGCGGATATTTATAGAAGCTAACTACCCTTAAAGCCTACTGATTCTAAATGTGGAGGGAAAAACCGGAGGACCCGGAGAAAAATTCATGCCACTACGAGGATAGAGGCATGCACACTCCAAATATGCAGGTATCAAGGTCGGGACCGAACTCACGAACTCCTGTATACTAGGCGAGGGAGTTAACATCTTGCCACCTGAGCACTGGGTGGGGCTATTTGGAGTGTGGGCGGGACGGCGTGAGTAGTGGGCAGGGCTACGTGAGCAGTGAGTGTAGGTGGAGTAGAGGGTGTGGCCAAGATCAGAAAGCGTCACTGTGTGGGCGGGGCTAGTGGGTGAGTAGGCGTGGCTCTTGAAAAGTGGGCGGGGCTGATGGAGGGGCTGCCGGCCCACCAAGTGTCTGAGTTGAGCTTTGCAGACATTTGGGCGCCTGAGACAAAGGGGCACACGGAGTTTGATTATTAAAGCAATGTTGGTGATATGTGCTTATGTATGTCTGCAGGTGTTAAGACGAACAACATTCTTGAGGCTAAAGTTGGAACAAAAATCTCGATTCCCTGCCAAGGCAATTCTGAAAGCAGAATCACTGGAAGCGTTGAATGGCACTTTGCTCTACCAGGACAACCATTCTACCCCGTCAACACCACCAGTGGAAAAAAACACTCCATCGATTATAACAATTCACTTCTCATTCACAAACTCCAAAAGAAAGATGCAGGACTTTACCTGTGTGAGCTGAACAATCTCCAGAAATTCTACGAGACGAAAGTCAACATAATCCGAGGTAATGCACGAAAATGAAGCTACATTACGACACCTGGACACAGCTTTAGGTTACGAATGATTCTGAAACGTTTTTCTCCACGTTTAAGACTTCAACACTAATATAAAAAAACATAGCGGAGGCGTAAATCCACAAGTTCCCTGTTACACTCCTTCACAAGTGAAACACAAACGTGCTAGCCAGTCGCCTTTGGTGGAACCAAGACTCAAAAATGTCAAACGTCAAGCAAATGCCCCAGCTGACACAATTGTGAGTGCATTCTTACGGTCATGGTTTCCACCATATGGATATACTACGATCCATCATACAGTAGGAGATACACAATAATTATATTGCTTGCAAAAATATTGTTACGTCGTGGTTATTTTGTCTCAATTGTCTGCAATTGCAATTGTAAACAAGCTATTAATTTATCATTCTGCTTCGTGGAACATTTTTTTGTAAAATAAATAATTGATAGTGTTCGGAATAAATGTAATTATTTTTGCGCGGAATAGGAAGTACGTGGATCGTAGAGATTATAGATTGTCAAGTTGGCATGATAAGACTCGTGGCCGGCTTGTGTTTAGTGACCTGCAATTGGGGAGCGTTCACGTCATAAAGAAAGGCATAAATATATTCAATAAAATGTTAAAAATATTTACAAGGTTACAAGAAACTATAGCATGATAATCGTCATATCGTGAACTTTTTTTGAAGCTGCAAACCTACTCATGAGTGGCAGAAGCTGGATTTACGACGTCGACATATATGAACCAATAGTCCGAGAGGAGGCGCTTTCCTCCAATAGGCAATGGAATCCAGCCTCACCCACTTTAACACCCAAGGCAATTTAAACTCGTATCTATGAACATAAGTAATAATACACAAATAATTTAGCAAATACCTTTGTCCATCACCAACTCCTCAACGTACCACGCGGCACGCTCGACTCACCTGACACTCACCTGACACTCAACTTATCGATGCAAAGCACAATTACTACAACACGAACAACAACACAATTCAGACCTTTGCCAATCTACTGTTGGATAAAGGCCACCCCGCACCATGTGATCGTGGGGGAAGTTTGACCATACTTCACCACGCTGGTCAGTGTGGGTTCTTAAAGCAGAGAGGCCCGCAACTGATTGAGAAGCTGCTTATCCCTGATCTTATCTATGGCTGGCATTGGAACTCGGGCTTCGCGGTTTATTAGCCAGTGTTCTAACCATCGTGCCGCCATTCTCACACCACCCTTCAAATTGTTCCGGTTTTCAAAAACTGGTTAGATCGTTCCTGGCCATAACGCTTCAAACAAAATAGTCGACATGTACTGCACACTGCACATACCAATGCGAGTGCCACAACTGGATTAAGACCATGATATGTTTCAACATGAATTTAAAAATGTATTATGCAATAGATCGTCCACGCGCCACCACTAAGTCAACTCTTGCTTCCCCCACGACTACAGCAAATGCAGGTAATTCTTTGTCTTTAACGAGTAAACTTTGCACATTTTAGCATTCATACTAGTATGGTGTTTAAATAGAAATAGCCAGAGGAATATCATCATCATTATTAATCGTGTTATATCCATTGCTGGATGAATGTCATCCCAAATTGTCGATACTTTCCCAATAATAATACTAATTCGAATGTATAATGCGCATTCCATCTTAGGATCCAAATGTGCAATGCATGAGAAGCAGGAAACAAAAACCGAACAAGGGCAACCGATCGAACTAAAGAGGGAAGGCCAGTTTAAAGAGATGGGTTTTCAAAAGAGGACTAAAATATATCTACCGAGGACTCGAGGTGCCACAATCCATCTCGTATCACACATTTGCTAACCTTATAGTTCCACCTCCGTGCTGGACATCTTTTTAGGTGCGGTCAGTGCTGTGTGACCCCTTTCGTCGATTTTGTCCATTGGCAATCAGTCCTTCGACCTTAAATCACGACGAGGTCTCGGAATTTTTTTTTCTGTGATCCGCACGTTGCCACTGTGTCTCAGTGAAATTCCCAGCACTCTCCTCTCCGCGCGTCGTTGCGTAGTGTTCGGTGTCTGCTCAATTGTACTCATCAGTGTCCATCTCAGGCTTCATGATGATAATACTACTTTCATTTTATATAGTGGCGTCATTCGTGCTAACAGCACCCCACAACATTTCGATAGTATTGGATATGGCAAATGGATAGAGCACATGGACAGTGACAAAGAAAACGTAGGAATACATTACGTGTAAAACAAACGCCGTGCTGTATAATATTAAAACCCTTGATCCGACTGCTGGACAAAGGCCTCTCTACTCCACGTCAACGTGGCGGTCGCTTGAGCAGACTTCGCCGCGGTGATCAGCGCGGATTCGTGACGGGACCGTGCACCGGTTGGGGCGTCGCTCGCCGCTGATGTTAGCCGTGATTGAAATGTGTCACTCGTCTTCCCGGTTTCATCACAACCCCGTGCTCTCACACATTGGGCCGCCGTTATCGTACACTACCCCCCTCCCTTAAAAACAAAAAGAGTGACCGTAATGAATGCTCAGATGGTTCTTAACTATAATGCTTGAGCCAGTATAGAGAAATAGACATGGGCTGGAGGCTGCATATGCCAGAAGCAGTACTGCAACAGGAATTAGACCATTACGTGTGTTGATTATTATTATTATGATATTTAAAACTATTATGCAACAGATCGTCCATCGTCCAGCACAACGCCACATTTTTCGTCAACCACGCCTTCATCAAAAGAAGGTAATTATATTCTCGGGCTTCGCGGTTTATTAGCCAGTGTTCTCACCATCGTGCCGCCATTCTCAGACCGCCCGTTCAAATTGTTCCGGTTTTCAAAAACTGTTCAGATCGTTCCTGGCCATAGCGCTTCAAACAAAATAGTCGACATGTACTGCACACTGCACATACCAATGCGAGTGCCACAACTGGATTAAGACCATGATATGTTTCAACATGAATTTAAAAATGTATTATGCAATAGATCGTCCACGCGCCACCACTAAGTCAACTCTTGCTTCCCCCACGACTACAGCAAATGCAGGTAATTCTTTGTCTTTAACGAGTAAACTTTGCACATTTTAGCATTCATACTAGTATGGTGTTTAAATAGAAATAGCCAGAGGAATACCATCATCATCATTATTAATCGGGTTATATCCATTGCTGGATGCATGTCATCCCAAATTGTCGTTACTTTCCCGATAATAATACTAATTCGAATGTATAATGCGTATTCCATCTTAGGATCCAAATGTGCAATGCATGAGAAGCAGGAAACAAAAACCGAACAAGGGCAACCGATCAAACTAAAGAGAAGGCCAGTTTAAAGAGATGGGTTTTCAAAAGAGGACTAAAATATATCTACCGAGGACTCGAGGTGCCACAATCCATCTCGTATCACACATTAGCTAACCTTATAGTTCCACCTCCGTGCTGGACATCTTATTAGGTGCGGTCAGTGCTGTGTGACCCCTTTCGTCGATTTTGTCCATTGGCAATCAGTCCTTCGACCTTAAATCACGACGAGGTCTCGGAATTTTTTTTTCTGTGATCCGCACGTTGCCACTGTGTCTCAGTGAAATTCCCAGTACTCGCCTCTCTGCGCGTCGTTCCGTAGTGTTCGGTGTCTGCTCAATTGTACTCATCAGTGTCCATCTCAGGCTTCATGATGATAATACTACTTTCATTTTATATAGCGGCATCATTCATGCTAACAGCACCCCACAACCTTTTGGTATTATTGGATATAGCAAATGGATCGAGCACATTGACAGTGTAAAGAAAACGTAGATATATATTGCGCGTAAAACAAACGCCGTGCTGTATAATATTAAAACCCTTGATCCGACTGCTGGACAAAGGCCTCTCTACTCCACGTCAACGTGGCGGTCGCTTGAGCAGACTTCGCCGCGGTGATCAGCGCGGATTCGTGACGGGACCGTGCACCGGTTGGGGCGTCGCTCGCCGCTGATGTTAGCCGTGATTGAAATGTGTCACTCGTCTTCCCGGTTTCATCACAACCCCGTGCTCTCACACATTGGGCCGCCGTTATCGTACACTACCCCCCTCCCTTAAAAACAAAAAGAGTGACCGTAATAAATGCTCAGATGGTTCTTAACTATAATGCTTGAGCCAGTATAGAGAAATAGACATGGGCTGGAGGCTGCATATGCCAGAAGCAGTACTGCAACAGGAATTAGACCATTACGTGTGTTGATTATTATTATTATGCTATTTAAAACTATTATGCAACAGATCGTCCATCGTCCAGCACAACGCCACATTTTTCTTCAACCACGCCTTCATCAAAAGAAGGTAATTATATTCGATTTAAAGTGTAAACGTTACACATATACGCGTCATAATAGTCTCATCCACGGTGTCTGAATGGTAAGAAACAGCGCAAAGGAAAAACATTATCAGCCTTGTTCCAAAAATCCACTGCTGGATGAAGGGCCTTCCCACGTTTCCATTACTCCCCCAAGGCCCCAAAGATGCCACAATTCGTCTCGCCTCACGCACGAGCTTATGTCATCGTCCCCCCTCCTCTGGTGCATTGTCCTCTCATTACCACGGTGACCGCTGTGTCGTCAGTCGTGTCCACTGGCAGCAAAACAACTCCATCCTAAGTCACGAAAACTCCATCCAAAGTCACGGAAACTCTATCCTAAGTCACGAAAACTCCATCGTAAGTCACGAAAACTCCATCCTAAGTCACGAAAACTCCATCCTAGGTCACGAAAACTTCATCCTAAGTCACGGAAACTCCATCCTAGGTCACGAAAACTCCATCCTAAGTCACGAAAACCGATGTCCGTAAACGTGTTGGTGCTCCGATCCATGCGCGTTCTCTTCGTGTCAGTGGAATTGCCAGCACTCGCCCTAGACACAACTTCAACCGAGATGATGGATTCAAATTGAGCAATCATTGGAAAGATGTAATTAACCAAGTTAAATCTTCTTGGTTCTTTCGGTAAAGTCACGTAGAATGGAAATAATAAAATAATAAAAATTAAACATAATAAAATAGTTGTTATTTTATTTTATTATTTTATTATATTATATTATTATATTATTTTATTATGTTTTATTTTTATTACTTTATTATTTTAATTTTTATTTTTTACCTACGTGACTTTACCGAAAGAACCAAGAAGATGAATCCCTGCAGTCACGAAAGCTTTAAATCAAAATTTAACCAAGTTAAACTTTAGCTACCGTGCAGTTTACTGCTAGACAGCCAGTTTAGATTTATTTTCTTAAACATATCCATATTCCCAGTCTGTTACCCCCAGCTCCACACACTTCCATCAACAATACCACACGTTTTTTAGCTTTTCACACGTTGTTTGCCTGCTTTGTAATTTTACCCACCTGGCAGCATGAGTTAGGATCTGCCCCTCTTTGCAGGACGATCTGGGGTGAACCTCATCCCAGTGTACATCTCCGTGTTGGTGGTGTGCACAGCGATCGCGTGCGGGGCTGCCTGCTACGCCTGGAAGCAACGGAAGATCAGGGTCAGTGTCTCGTTCATTCGCAAAGCCACTCACGCTCACGTGGACGTATTGCGATGAAACTGAAGGTTGAGAGAGTCCTGGCAATGCTCACGCCACTGCTAGAGGTTGCTTGAGAGAACCGTTCAAGGGTATTTTGACCCCACTCTTGGACGTTGTGGGAATGCTCACACGTTACTCCACCGCGCGGAAAACTGCCAATCAGATTCTTTATTTATACTGCCAGGAGAAATCCGATGAGCTACAAAGTAATTGTTGGCAGCTTCCTCTTTTGGCATCTAAACAGCAACAACAACATCGACAACAACAGCGCACGGCAAGTGACGTGCCCAGCTTCAACATCACAGCGAGCGATTTAAACAAAGACCCAGTCCTTTGGAGGTGGCTCTGAGGTCGGAGCACAGAGCCTCGGTTTTAATCCAGGTTTCGGTCCACCTGTGATTAAAATTGGGTTCTCAATGTGTTGTGAGTTGATGATTTCAGCAACACACAAAAGACTGTTAGGGTACATTTAGTTCCATTATTAAATTGGTAAAATTGCATCTCTGAGATAAAAAAAAATCGATTTGACCGTCATCGTGGACATTATTACCATATGTAGCCTGGGTAGGAAAGTGCCACCCTCCACTTTGTGGTCCATAGGCCACTTAAGAATTTTTATTTATACTGTAGGAGGAATCCGATGAGCTATGAAGCTCTTTTTCACAGATGTCCAGGAGGGGCACGGGGTCAGAACGTTACAACAACAGACAATACAAAAACACGATAGGAGTGAAAAGTATAGGAAAGATAAACAAACCAATAAAAATATATACAAATAACATATTTTGTTGTTGTTTATCTTACCAGGTAAAGCCCATTGAGGTATGAACTTATTTTTCATCTGCCGGGTGTTGATAGGCGGGACATGACTGCCATCGTGTCATGGTTAGCACACGAAAATTACAATCCAGAGGTCGTCAGTTAAACATGTCCCGGCATGACAATTGAAAACAAATTCGCAAAATGTCATAAATCCCTCACCACTATCAACACAGAAGTACAAAAGGGTAACAACCACAGTTAGTGGATTGGCGGGTAGCGTGTGGTGGGGTAGAGTGTGGGTATTTCCACCTCTTTCAAGATGCAGGCCAACATGCCTCGAACTCCCTCTCGTAGACGCCCTTTCCCTAGCAGTGGCGTGAGCAATGAAATATCAGGGCACCACCTTCGACTTTACCTTAAATCTGTACGGCGTGGAAAACCGCATTCTAACGTTGTATTCAGAAAGTGTTTTTATTGTATGGCCAGGTAAGGCCCACTGATCTATGGAGCTATTTTTCAAAAGCGACCTGGGCGGGGCTACCCGAGTAGTAGGCGGGGCTACCTGGGCAGTGTACGTGGCCACGTGGCCACTCCCTGTAGATGGAGGGGCTAGTGGTTGAGTGGGCGTGGTTTTGTGAAAGTGGGCAGGGCTGATGATGACCCATCACGATTGAATCAGAATCTTGATTTATAACTGGAGGAATCCGATGAGCGATAAAGCTTTTTTTCACAGATATCCAGATGTATTGAGGCCCAATTCGTCGTCACATTCTTTGATAAATAGACGCTGATTTATAGATCAATAAACACGGGGCTAAATGCAGTTAAGGTTGATTGACGAGATTTAAACGTGGCCCAATGTGTATGCGTATTAACACTTCGTGTTCAAACAACAGTGCGGCAACAAACCGGACTCAACCTCGAACAAAGGGAAGCACGCCTACAAGTCGGTGAAACTGCCTCTGGCTATTTACGAGTCTATCGATCCAACATCGGAACCAGAGCCCGAGCAGAAATATCTGGAGGTATCAGTAACCACACTCGATCGCGTCACATAGGCCCATTGAAGATGTGGTGGAGCCATTAGTAACAGCTACATCAGGGGGTAGGCAACGTGCCGCTTCAGAGCCGCACGCGGCTCTTCAAGGGGACTGCTTCGTGACACATGATTCACGTCTGCATTGCGGCTCTTGAAATAGTTGAGTTTTTGTTACCGAAATTGGAAACGAAGATGCCTCTGCTTGTTATCTCGGTTGTCAACCCCTGTGCAATATGGACAGAACTGGGGAGGGGGGGGTTTAATATACTTGACCGTTCTTTCAGCTGCCGACCAGGGCGATCGAATTGAACAAGCGCTTTCCAAACACAGGAGCCGTCCATAAATGACGTCATGCGATTTTGGACGATTTTTGACCCCCCCCCCCCTTTCTCACACGGCGTCACAAAAAGCCAGACCCCCCCTCAAATATGACGTTACAAAGCTCTGTCCCCCCCCCCCAAAAAATAAGACATGCTTTAAATCGCTTTAAACTATTGTCATTGTAGTGCGTATTTAATGTGGCGCTGCACTCTCATGTTGTAGGAGAAAACATTTCTTAAAAGTATATTTAATTAGGTAGAACTTGTTATTTATATTTATTTAAAGTTGCGCATTCTGATGTGATGTCACATTTCTCAACCCCCCCCCCCCTCGTCACACATCGTCACAAATGTCTGACCCCCCCCCCCCTTAGGTGCGTGACGTCATTTATGGACGGCCCCAAAGTCTAGTATATTAATGAATTTCACATTGGCAGCATTCCGCTTGTGGTGTATCATAAGACTAACTGTACACTGCATACACTATAAACACTAATAATGACTAAAACACGAGAAAGTTGACATTTGAATAATATTCAAAGCTTGCCGCAATTTTTATTAGCAATCAAACCTTATCAGCCAAAAGTACATACTCAAAAATGACTAGTCAACCCACAATTATCCAGGACAATGAAGGGAAGGAGTGTCCAAGATAATCATACATAAATTATTAAAACAAAACCCTGTAATTTAAGGTATTGCAATATACATAGTATTACTATTATTATATACATAGTATAATGTGAAGATGTAGAATGGGTCATCTGCGTTTTTGTCTCTTAAACATTATCCGTTTCTTTTCCAACGTTTTGTGGTCACGTGGGCACTCGTAAACTGACCCCCTGAAAATCGAGCCACCATTAATATATTTCAATTAAATTAGCTCGCGCACGTGAGTGTTGAACTTATTTCGCATTGGTACGTAGGCAACCATGCTCATTGGAGGTGCAGTGGCCTGAACAACAAACTAAACAACAAGAAGCAGTTCTAAAGAAATGAGTTTGTCAACTAGATGACGATTTAAAAGTGCATAGCTCCCAGTGGCTTCTTAATATCGGAAGGGAGAGCGTTCCAGACGGCCGCAGAAGCGCATCTGAAAGCATCACGCGATGCGGTGACCACCGCCTTTGTTCGACGGTTGAGCCAAGAGCTACTGCTGCGAGGATGACCGAAGTTCGCGTGATGGTTTAAGCTCCTTGACCAAACTCCAAGGAGCATGAACGCCTGAATGAGCACAAATAATTGGCAAAACAGATAACCCGGCCGCAGATAAATAACAGTCAACTGTATTCATATTTATTCCAACAAATATTTTATTCTGGAGTATAACATTACTATCATACACCTTAACTGTAACTCTAAAACCTCAACATTATAACGCTATATTCCATATAACTTTTATATATAAATTTAGTTGGCAATTGTACGGGCCAGATGCACATCTTGACCAATCAGTCGTAACACATTTCACTGGAAATTATCCCACTGTTGACGACCTAGGCAAATGCACTTTTTTACAAAGCATTTCACAAAAATAAATTTGCCACCACAACCACCACCACACGAACCTGGCTCTAAATTTACACATACGCTGCCGTGACCTGAAGATTTCGCGAAATCAGCATATCCTGCTTCTATTTTTCCAAAAAAACATTCTGACCGTGCGCCTTGACCTCCACGATACGTTTCTACGGGCAGTGGGGTGAGGTTACCCGAGTGCTGGATGGAGTTGACACTGGGTGGGGGGGGGGGGGCTTTTAGTAGTGGGTGGAGTCAAAATACGGTGGGAGGCAGCTAGTGGGTGAGTGGACGTGACCATGGGAAATATTGCAGCCTTATATGGAGCCACGTTTATGCGCTGACGAGTGTCCATTTTGCGCGCAGATTTTTTTTTTGCGAAAATGTGTTGATGTCTGATTAGCAAATACAAGGAGGGGGGGGGGGGTATGTTTCGGCTGCTTATTCTTAAATTAAGCTCCCACGTGTATGCCTATAAACGCCGCCAACAACGTGTTGTTTTCCAACAGAGGAGCAAAAATCAGCGCTCGAACACAAACAGCGCGGACCACGCCAGGAGTTCGGGGGACGTCCCTCCGATTGTTTACGACACTGTCGGTGCGGCGCAACCAGAAGCTGCGCTGACATGCGCAGAGATCACAATCAATGGTAGCGCGCTCTCTCTGTCTCTCTCTCTGTCTCTCTCTACAACGGTGGTTCCTCTTCTTCTTAGCCTGGGATGCACGCACGCCCGGTTGGGTGCCAGATGCCCTTTCTGGGGGGGGCGTGCGAGACATGGCCAGATTTTTATTTTTAGAAGGTAAATCATCGAAACACGATGTGAGCATGGGCATGTAGGTACAACTTACTTTGTTTCACCAAACCTAAATGTAGCTACGAACATTACACATGTTTTTCAACGATTCATAAACAAAGGGGTGCAATGCTGCAATAAAGGTGAAGAACCACTGGTCTATAATTTGAGCAAAGCTCTCAAATTCCAGTGAGAGTTATGAGTGAAGATCTCAGCAATACCAGTACAGCTTAGGGGCCGTCCATAAATGACGTCATGCACCTAGGGGGGGGGGGGGGTCAGACATTTGTGACGATGTGTGACGGGGGGGGGGGGGTTGAGAAATGTGACGTCACATCAAAATGCGCAACTTTAAATAAATATAGACAACAAGTTCTACTTAATTAAATAGACTTTTTAATAAATGTTTTCTCCTCCAACATCAGAGTGCAGCGCCACATTAAATACGCACTACAATGACAATAGGTTAAAGCGATTTGAAGCATGTTTTATTTTTGGGGGGGGGGGGCAGGGCTTTGTGACGTCATATTTGAAGGGGGTCAAAAATCGCGTGACGTCATTTATGGACGGCCCCTTACCACATTGCCAGTAAGGCTGGCTATTTGCCTTGTCAGGTAAACTACTTTGCGAGTGATGATCTCTTTCGGTGTCAGCTATCGGCACGCCGTTTGTCAATCGGCTGCCGGATGGGAAGTTATTTAACCATACTTCACCACACGAGTCACTGTGGGTTGGTGGGGATGCAGCTGTCCCATCAGATGTGACAACCGCCTGTTCATATACATACATAACATATCTAAAGATCAATTTTTTTTAATGTTTTCAGTTCTAAAACATGGAACACGTAAACATTATTCTGCATATATATGTACATGCAGAGAAAGAAAACTAAAACATGTTCACAAATGTAGTGTGTTCCGAATCAAGCGATCAACTTCCTCTTTGCCACCGGAAAGCCCTTCAGGACCTGCGCGGTTTGTTGCTGGATAAGGAACTTACTTTTTGCAGCGGAAATAAAACTAAATCAGATTCTAAGAAAACGATGTGTCAGGTAGCTCTGCGGTTAAAAAAAAGCACCTCACAATTAGAAGGACATGAGTTCAAGTCCAGATGGGGGTTGGACTCGGCCCATTCTCTCTCTGCAGTCGTTCATGGGAGTATCAACGTATGGTTGAATTTCGATTTAAAGCGTTCGTGACTGCAGGGATTCATCTTCTTGGTTCTTTCGGTAAAGTCACGTAGAAGGGAAGTAATAAAATAATAAAAATAAAACATAATAAAATAATTCTCACGACGTTTCGGCCACAACGCAAGCAGCCGTCCTCAGGTGAAAACCAGGTCTGTCGAGGCTTTCACCTGAGGACGGCTGCTTGCGTTGTGGCCGAAACGTCGTGAGAATTATTTTATTATGTTTTATTTTTATTATTTTATTACTTCCCTTCTACGTGACTTTACCGAAAGAACCAAGAAGAAAAAAACGTATGGGTTGGTTAAGGGGAGACTCGCCTCCCACCATGGGAATGTGGGATTCCAGCCACTGGATCAGCTCTGTAAACGGCACGTGTTGCACCCCTCAATGCTCATTTAAGCAAGACATTACTTGTAGTTCATACACAGGGACTCCTCTTTCAGTTTCATTTCAGTTCCATTTATTAGGTATAACCCCGTGAGCCGTGCGGCTCTTGACTCGGGTGCAACCGCAATAAAACAAAAACATGAACAAGAAACATCTTAAAGTGACTACACGCAACAGAAAAAAATCCAGGAAAAATCATCAAGGTCTTCCAGAAAAAAACACCGCATTTCAACGATGTGTGCAAAAATCCCAGTGGGATGCACGTCAAACAATAACAACCATAACACGATGTAGACTTTTCTCTGGGCAGTCGTGGTGGCGAAATGTTAATTACCTTGCCAGGTGTACAGGAGGTCGTGGGGCAGATCTCGACCCTGATGCCAGCTGTATAATCGGAGCTTGTGTGTTCTCCCCGTGCTCGCGTGAATTTTTCTCAGGACACTCAGCTTTATCCCTCCACATCCGTTAACAACACGCGTTTAGAGTATTTGGCTGCTTGTACATTTCCCCACGATAAGCCACTTTGTTGAGCTGTCATTAGTGGCCAGGTCGCTTTTGAAAAAAGAGCTGTATAGCTCAGTGGGCCATACCTGATGAAACAAACTAAGAATTTAAATAGTAAAATATTAAGACCAATTTAGCAAATCCTGTTATCCGCAGGATTATTTTTAATGTACACATCTTATCCATCGGCGGCAAACATTGAAGATAACGGATCGAATGATGAATTTGCCTCTCGACTTATATGCAGCAACAACTACAAATCTCGGATAATAGGAGTGATAATGACGTTATACCCATTAACGACGGACAACCCAGTGGCGTATTGGGATGAATATTTTTTTTAAACGCGATCCATTTTATCCGCAAAAAGCAGAGCGAGTGCGTTGGTCACCAATGCAAGTGTAGTGTTGTACAGACGGACTCTTCAACGTCTTTTGTAGCACACACTTTATTTCGTCTTATTAACACAGTGCCTATGCACTCAGAACGTACAAGCCCCCGTATCCTACAGGCTACTTAATAGCCTGCTCTTTCAGTGTCCTCTGACTGGACCTAGGGAGATGTCTCCCCGACCACTGGTTACTCTGAACCCTAGCCCTTATAAGGGCTGGAGGGCTTGGTCCAAGGTCCTAGGCTTCTTCCGCCGTCTTGGGTCTTCGTGTAGTCGAACTCCTCCAGAGCTCTGAGCGCTCTGGCTTTATACTTGTTCGTGGCCGGGTTGTCCAATCCCCGGCCACCTTGTGGAACCCTGTGATTGGTCGTTCCCAATCTGCTTTTCGATCCCAATTCACCCTATCTGACCCTGACCGTTTGGTCGCGCGGGAAAACCTTGTTTACGGTCAGCTCTCACAGCTTGTGAGACCCTGACCGTTAGTTTGAGTGGGAAAACCTTGTTAACGATTTGCTCTCCCAGTTTGTGAACATCGAGTGGGTAACTCTACTACATCACCCTCCCCTTCGGAAGCCTCAGCCGTCCTGGCTGTTACAAGCAGAAAATCCCCATCAATGAATCAATGTGTGTGTGTGCCACAACCAACAAGAACAGGTACATCCAACAAGAACAGGAACATCCAACAAGCACAGGAACATCCAACAACAGGAACATCCAACAAGAACAGGAACACCCACTATAAATACCCCCCCATCAACAACGCAACATATGTACATGGTCAGAACCAATCACAAATAACGACATTCGCGACGCACAACGCATGCAGCATTCAGCTGCCGCAAAAAAAATGATGGGCAATCAAGAAAACCGACGCGATCTAGCCCGTGTGTATTTCGCGGGCCCGTCGTAGGGGATGGGTGCCCCTTTCCGGGCTGCAGGCTGACCAGGCATCCTGGCAAAAATGTCAGCAGGGGCAGGAGAGGCCTCTCTGCAGGGACCCTTGAAGCAGACGGGTCGGGCAGCCTGGCAAACATGTTGGGCGGGTCAGGCATCCTGGTAAACATGTTGGGTGGGTCAGGCATTCTGGCAAACATGTTGGGCGGGTCAGGCATCCTAGCAAACATGTTGGGTGGGTCAGAAGGTCTCTTTGCAGAGACTCTTGTTGTAGACGGGTCAGGCATCCTGGCAAACATGTTGGTCGGCTCCCGGGGCCTTCGTGCAGAGACTCGTGGCTCGCACGGCTCCCTCAGTCCCGCATCATCTGCAGGAGGAATGAGACGTCTGCGCTGTGGATTAGGTACCAACGGGGCGACATCCGGCTCGTCGGGCATATCACACGCTCGGCCCTCGTGTTTTGAGTGTGACGCAGAGCCGCGCGGAGCAATAAATGGCTTCAGACGAGAGGGGTGCACGAACCAGCGCCGTTGTTCCCAACGTATCTTAACACACTGTGGGCGCATTACCTGGACCACCTCAACCGGACCTCGCCATGGTTTTAGGAGTTTAGCCGATGTGGACACCGGCACCTGGGGGCAATGAAGCCACGCCATATCACCTGGAGCCCACCGATGCACGGACGTGCGAGGGGCCTGCAACCTCGAATTTGCCCGCTGGCGGGAAGCGGAATTTTCGATCGCCGCATCACGAGCCTCAGACAGCTTTTGCAGGTTGAACCGCAAATGGTCAGTGAGCTTCGATGACTGTGGAAGCTGCTCTATCCCAAGCCGCACATCTATCTGACCCTGACCGTTTGCTCGCGCGGGAAAACCTTGTTTACGGTCAGCTCTCACAGCTTGTGAGACCCTGACCGTTATTTTGAGCGGGAAAACCTTGTTAACGATTTGCTCTCCCAGTTTGTGAACATCGAGTGGGTAACTCTACTACACAAGCAACTATCCCAGACTCAAATCTCTGTAGCTTCCGAAATCTGGCGAAAGTGGGCACATTTTAGTAAATGATTCTTAAAATATATTTACAATATTTATTTTAACATGTAGGCTTTCGCGACCAATATCATCCGTAATAGAGTTGTTTTGGGTTAGATCGCGTAAAAATATAAATGTGTCGTTAAACCCGCCACCACCCACTCAGATTGTAAATGTTGTAGCTTGGCTCTCCAACACACAACCGGTGTGCTGTACTAGTGACGAATTGGCACGTTCTGTTCACGTGACAACCCTTACTAGTTGGCTGTGTCGGGTGGTGACGGGTTTAACGAAACATTTATATATTTACGCGATCTAACCCAAAAATTCCTCTACTATGTATAACATTTATGTTTACGCTGAGTGTCTACTGCTGATGCTATGTGCCCTGTACAGCGCTTTGAGATCCTTAATGAAAATGACATAAAATGCAACATAAAATGTAATTTTCATTTTCGGGTCATTTAGTGTTCATGCTGTTGCCTGTTATCTATGTTTGCACAACACTGTGTACATCAGTAAAATATCTGACGTATTTTTAATCGTACAATTAGGATTGCGGTTTTGGTGTAGATCATTTTACGATAGCCTTGTGACATTGTATTTTATATATTTTTTAAACATGTATATTAATAATTATGTTTGACCACACATCGAGTGGCATTCATTAATCTTTTTTATTCAATGATAAACATCGCTCTTGAATTTTTCCATAAGCTGATCGAACGTTACAACTACGGCGATGTTTTCGTTCTGATCTTTTGCGTCACGTAAATATCTTCATCGCAAATGTCGAGTGTTCAATATTTTGATATTTTTTTCTTTCAATGTCCCATCTCTAAGTGCTATGTATATCTAAGAGACTAATGCCTCTTAAAATGCACTAAATACACGTTGATTTTAAAGGGCTTTGGATACGTGCATACAATTGAGCGTGTAAGATGTATTTTCAATGTATGCGAATTATACGCTGTTACATTTTGGTTTTAAAAGGAGGGGTGGGCCAAAAAAAAAATACAACACCTGTACGCACGAGCATTGCTTTTAAATGACACGAACAAGAATGAACTATAACCTGAAACGTCTCGTTTTCATTTGCAGATTTCGATGTAACTTACAGCGTCCCCTATAAATCAGCAGCGAGTGAGGTAAGCAATTACGGCTGAACATGTCCCCCAGGCCTCCCCCTTAGGGGCCGTCCATAAATGACGTCACGCACCTAGGGGGGGGGGGGGTCAGATATTTGTGACGATGTGTGGCGATGGGGGGGGGGGGTGAGAAATGTGACGTCACATCAAAATGCGCAGCTTTAAATAAATATAGACAACACGTTCTACTTAATTCAATATACTTTTTAATACATGTTTTCTCCTACAATATCAGAGTGCAGCGCCACATTAAATACGCACTATAATGACAATAGTTTAAAGCGATTTGAAGCATGTTTTTTTTTGGGGGGGGGCAGAGCTTTGTGACGTCATATTTGAGGGGGGGGTCTGACTTTTTGTGACGCCGTGTGACGAGGGGGGGGGGGGGGTCAAAAATCGTCCAAAATCGCGTGACGTCATTTATGGACGTCCCCTTATGAATATTCTGTTGAGCGTTTAGCATTTGTTAGAAATTAGTTTAAACATTGACTGCATGCGCGTTTCCCTATATATACACGCCTTCTTGAAATGAGTTAGTTTTTGGGGAAATGTGTAAACGTATTATTTATTTTTCCTACTTTACTTTATCAGAGGATGCTGCGGTGGTATAATGGTTAGCACACACTGTACAGTCCCTGCAATCCAGATGTTACCACCCAGTAAAAGTGCTACATTTGGTGTAGAATTGGTCTTACACATACTCACCGTGAGTTAATGATCACCGGAAGTGATAACGTGAGGTAACGTACAATCACTTATTACGTATTTGTAAAAATGGTACCGTCCATTGCTACATTACAGGTAAGTATAACACTTTAATTAAAATATAAGACAAAAAACAGTTGTACTTATTAATATTCTCTCGAGTTCTATTGCCAGAAAGGGTAAAACCTATTCTTATTTTTCATACTTTTATATTGCCAAAAATGTGTGGCTATGTCGCTTCTGAAAAAGCAGGTAATAGCTCAGTTAGGGTAGAATGGTAAGATAAAACATCGTTTAGTTTTAATCTTGATGTGGAGCTTTCGCGACAGCAGGAATCCATACTCTTTGGTTCTATCGGGAAAGTCACGTAGGTAGAAAATAAAATAAATCACGATGTTTCGATCGCGACACAAGCGGTCGTCCTCAGGCGGAAAAAATATAATCCAACAGTGGAGCTGCTGATCCAGCGAGAGAGCTGTTGCAACTGCGCTCCTATCGTGTTTTTATACTTTTTGTTGTAACTTTCTTACCCTGTGCCCCTACTGGACATGTGAAAAAGAGCTTTGTAGCTCTTCGTATTTCTCCTGCAGTATAAATACATACTCTGAGGTGGCATATTGGCCACAAAGTAGAGGGTGGAATTTCCCCAACCACTCTGCATTTTATAGTAATGTCCCTGATGACGGTCAAATACGATTGACATTTCTCCGAGATGGAATTGAACCAATTTCATTACGGAACTTAATGTAACGTAAGTTTTTGGTTGTGGCTGAAACCATCAACTCACAACACCTTGAACAACCCAATCTTTCATCACAGGTGGACCGAAACATAGATTAGAACCCACGATGTGCCCTGACCTCAGAGCCACCTCCAGAGAATGTTTGTTTTTATTGGGCGGGTAGGAGGGTGTTAACTCGCTCGCCGCGATGTTGAAGCTGTGCGTGTCTCTTGCCGTGCGTTGTCGTCTGTTCCTGGTTCAGATGCCCAAAGGGACGACAATGGCTCATTCGCCACCCAACGTCCACTACGCCGAGGTTGCCATTTATTGAAAACACTGCTGGTTGGTGGTGGGCATGGCCACATCTGTACACCCACCACGCTACGTCTTTCCGCGTTCACTCCAAATGAACTCGTGCCACGCCGCACGCGCGCCCGATGATTGTTAAACATGTGCCCACGTGACGGGCTTTGCAATTACACTGGTCAACAAACATTTTTTTTTCTGGCCTGGACTTTTGCAGCTGTTTTAGACTAATTTCAGGTGCCGATTCCAAATCTGATCTCAGATTTGCTCTATCACATCTCATTTTATGCTATCGGCATACCCCATTTTCATTGATTTTACCCGAAATTAACTCCGTCACTTATGAGTGCAAGTTGTTGCGAGTCAGTGACTGCTTTAGTGTTAAAATACGGTGCTGTATTTTTAGGACAGTGTTTATAATATCATTTTATATAGATATCCACATTTATTTAATATTTTTCTTCTGCCGTTTTTATTGAAAATGCAATATTATATATCTCAAAAACCTGATGTGATAGACAAAAACTGATGCCAGATTTGGAATCAGCACCCCAAAATTACCTTAAAACCGTTGGAATACCTTGTGCCAGAAAAAGTGCGTTGACCAGTGTTATCGTTGCGAGTCATCGTTAAAATAACGAGGCTTCTAAAGATGATGAGGTTAAGAAAACCATCGCCTCGATCACCCACTTATCAATCACATGATCATTCGCGATGTTGTCCATACCCTTGAACAAAACCCATCCTTCACCGTGTAAAATACAACAGAAATAACAAAATGATGGCTCAACTGCCACACGCTGTGCCACGGGCGCTCTGAATGTACATGTATAGCCCACCGGTCAATTCACTGCTCGATGAGGGTCTACTCACACTGGGCAGGCAGTGGGCATGCTTGCCGCTGGGCATTGTGGGTTGGTGAAGGTGAGCGCACGAGAGATTTCGAATATTTTTTTCCCGAGTGGCCCCTTGACTGCCCACAACCCACCGACGGAATTGCGTGGTGGTCACCCAAAACAAAGCTATTTCCCAGTTCAAAACTTTTGCGTCATCTGGTCCAACACCAATGGAGACTAGGCTCAAAGAAAAGCTGTCTCGGGTGTGGACCAATCAACTTCAAGGACAGTGCATATCATTATCATCATCAGTTGTTTCTTTTTGTTCGCATTTTGACTGCTTGTGTTGTGGTTATTGCAAACATGATGCCTTGTATAAAGGTGTCAGTTTTTGTACCAGTTGAAACGGTAAAAACCTATTACTAGAGCTTACGAATGTTATGGGAATGTCTGGCGATGTCTTTACAGGAACACTGCAAAAAGGGGTCATTTACTTACAACGTAATTTACAATATTATCTGGGTGATCAATATTATTTTCAATATTAATTTACAATATTATCAGGGTGACAAGGGTTTCTTTAACAGAACAGAAAGATTATTCTGCAGATGGGAATTGACGCGGAACTTTGTGGTGCATTGTGGCTTGCTTCCTGCACTTTAACAGTTGTGCCTGCGAATGAATGTCCAGGCACACACACTGCACAGGTTCACAACACAAATGTTCAATGTTTATTTTTGAGTAGTTACGTGACAACGCGCTGCATAGTGGCTTCTACGATCCATGCTTCAGCGAGTGGAAATGTTTATTTCATAAAAGCATGCCGATGTTACAGAAACATACAAAAATCTGATTGGACTTCCATCACACTCATCGTATTTTCCGGCTATAATATTTTAGTGTATTACAATGTCTACTTGTTACGTGTGTGTTTTTAGGATGCTTAGCATAAAGGCCTTTCGTTTTGGCAGCTTGACGCAATATGAAATTTATACAACCGACGCAATGCATATTAAGCACAGCCATTCTTGTATTCGTCAACTCTTCGATTATTCGGGATAATTGGGGAAGAGGTGGCCCACCTAAAACATGGATAATGCAAAAGGCATATGGGAAGTAGGTCAAAAAACACAATTTACCTACGTTGAATGGGATAAAGGTGCAGTGTGTCGCGTGTTTATTGCTTCTTAAAGTAACCTGTTTACTTGCCAACACGTTTGTGGTCACGTGGGTTCCGAATTACTCGCAATGAGCGAGGAGCCGGTAATGTACACGAGCCCGCGCGCAAAGTTATTCCATTTATTTTTTCCCGCAAGCAAGGTCAAATCACAATCTCGATAATCAACCCACGGATAATCGGGAGTTAACCGTATTGTAATTGTGTTTCAATGATAAGAAACTACGTGATCGATACGAGAACAAATAAAACACTTCGTCATAAAAGCTTGTTTTTCGTCAATGCTCAACCGAAGTTCAACTTAGGCGAAGAATGCAAGAAATCAATACTGACTGTACGACTCAAATGTAAATAAAATCACTTCGAGCGAAAACGTTTGTAATGGGGTGTGACATTTCACATTTCTGTGCACGAATGGGCAAGTTGGTTAATCATTCAGGGGGCGCGAAACCCAACGTCAACCTATGGAACGAGCCCGGGACCACGGACTGTCGATGAACCAGCAGTGTGCGCACGCGCGCGCGTGACCTTCTGCTTGGTTACACCAGTACCTAGCCTATGAATACTATTCAAACAATACCACTATCACATGGTACATGGTGAGCACTAACAAGTACGTAAATATATCGACAGCTATTTACACACAAGTACACACACGACTCTTCAATACTGCTCAATATCTGAAAATGTGAACACCATTTATCTATAATACAGGTTTTTTTGGGTTAGATCGCGTAAATGTGTCGTCAAACCCGCCACCACCCGGCACAGCCAATTAGTAAGGTTTGTCATGTAAACAGAACATGCCAATTCGTTTCTAGTACAGCTCACCGGTGTGTTGGAGAGCAAACCACACATTTATATATTTACGTGATCAAACCCCCCACCAAAAAAGCAGTATTATAGATATTGATCGCGAAAGTCTACGTGTTAAACCATTTATCTGGGTGCCAAAAATGTTAATTACAAATTCATTTAATACAAATTCGCTGTCCGGTTTTAAAGAGCTCATGGCCCATTGAGACGCATTATTTAATTTGCCTAGATAGGCCTTGGGTAACCATTTGGTGATACGTGCTTTAACAACGAAACCTACCCTCGTGAATCGTGTCACATGTTCGTAAATAAATGCACGAGACGGACTTTGGTGGGAGTTACTCTTTTCTGTGGTTTTGTGGCGAAGATGCTTAAATATTACTCTCGCAGGGGGAAAAGTTTACGCATGTGCATGCGTACAATCCTTTGTTAAACCCACTGCTGGATGAAGGCCTCTCCACACAGGGAACGTGATTTCGATGTTCAAATTAATCCCAAAATAAAGTGAGAAAAGTCAGCCTAGATGTGAAATGTCAGATGGATCCCTAATTGTTTTTTTTATTGATCTGAAAATCGGAAGTGACATTACCAGCTTCGTGCTTTCCCACCAAATTGGTGTCACTTGACATAGTGATGGTCACCATTGCCAGCACGAAGACATTGTACGCGAGTACACAACATGCACGGATCCAGGCATCCAAAGTAAATTGATAATTGTTCTTAAATGAAAAAAATAAGCAATATCTGAAACACCCCTACTCCCCCCGCTGGTCAATGTTTGGTTAGTGAAGCCCGGGTCAGAAACAGTTCAGATGCCACTCGCCACTGATGCCAAACATGACGGGAAATCGAATAGAACTCGTGTTGCCAGGTTCATCGTGCAGCATTAACAAAGGATGCAACACTTCACCGGACATGCGTAGAATTGTGTGCGAGAATCCGCGGTTTCGATTCAAACAACAATACTTTGAATTAACACAATTCTAAAAACTAGGGGGTCAGGAACCTATGGCCTGCGATTGTTATTTTTTTTCACACGACCGGCTGCCACACAAGGCCTACTCACTTCGAAATAGCCTCCCACGATTCATATCAGAGGTCGCAAACGGGTTTTGATTCCTTACCCGTACCCGGCCGCACCAGGGTCGCAAACGGCTACCCGTACCCGGCGGGGTATCGGGTAGGGTACGGGTATCGGATACCCATTTGCGACCTCTGATTCATATCCATCGCCGCAAGCACCACCGTAGGGAAAATCGTTGATCTAATTACGTAACGCGCTTAGTCACTTCGGTCACTCACTGGGGCAAGGGCCTCTTGTATACACGAGCGACCGAGCTGCGTGGCAACAAAGTGGCAGCCCGACGGAATTTTTGAAAGTCCTATATGGCATCCATTGAAGGTTGGAGGGGATAACTTGTTGCATCTCTCATATTTATACCTAGAGAGTTTAAAAAGGGCATAATTTCATTGGGAAATTGTGTTTGTGGTGGCATTATAGGAATTCGAAAGCATCTTGAGATAAAATCGTACCTGGATAGGTGCTTTATAAAAACGACTTGTATTGCGTTGTGAAATTACCAAAAATGAGCATGTATGTAGAACCTATTACGCACCGTACGTATCCAACCGTGCTAATCTGAGGTGAAAATGCAGGAGTACAGGACTTGCATCTTCAGATACTGCAGCGCATGTGGTCACACGTTCTGTATAAAACATACTTATGCTAGATATGGGCACTGCAGTAATAAGACTAACATTATTATAACTTACAAAATCTCATAGATCTACCTCAATACTGTAACAAAATAAATAGTGTACACAATAATAACACGTTTAAATAATACTTTTTCAGAGTTACCAGTTTAACAGTTAAAACTGAAAGGCTGAATGGTTATGAGCACTTTTCAAAATTTATAGCAACGCTCCGACGTTAAAGCACGGACTCATGTTCCAAGCTCGGGTTCGGCCACGGACATTCCAGCTGCGGCTCCAGAGCTCCGAGTATCGAGACGCAAGTCTTGAGATTCCTAAAGGGAGACGCAGACAAAAGACACCCACACACGAATGCAATATTAATTGTTTCACAAGTGCAAGAGCAAGGCACCATCAATCGTGCATAGCAACATCATGCAGACCTACATGAAATTCACCCTTTTTAAATACTTTATATTAAGTTCGCTTGCTTGCGTGCTTGCTTGCTTACGACCGTGCAAATCTTTCGGTCGTTTTTTAACCCACTTCCCGTGATCCAATCGAGCTGACATTTTCCACACAGACTCGTTGTGCAAGACAATTAATGTTCGTGAAAAAAAATTCCCAAAATTTTATACTTTTTAGGCAAAAAAAAATTATTTTACATATATTCAAATAGAACTCATTCATCACTTTGGCTGAACGTCACAGTATAAGAGCCCAGAGCGTAACCCCTCCACAGGCCGTGGCGGAGTAGCGCAGTTGGTAGCGCCCTCGCTTCCCATGCCAAAGGTCGCGGGATCGATCCCCGCGTCCTCCACAGGCATATATATATTTTAAATCCTTTATATTAAGTTCGCTGCCACGCATATAAAGGATTTATAGTGAAAAACTTTGTTTTTACGGGTTATACTTATTTGGCACTGGCATATCCGAGAGAACATGGGGGTCTCCCTCACAGATACACGGATTTGTTTCCACGCTGGCTATTTGCCGTGCCGAGCCAGAACCAATTACTGTACACGAAAAAATACCCCGTAAGAACACAACGTAAATAAATAATGTTTTATCTGTGTAAGTCTATTTCCTCATGAAACATGCTTCGTTTGTAGGAATCTGAAATAAGGAACATGGAAAATGACACGCAAGGATTATAGTATTTCCCCATGCGGTGTTGTTCTCATAAGTATTTATTTAGCAACTAGCTTTACTACCCGGCTTCGCCCGTTTCTTGGATTCTTGTCTTGGATTAATACACGGCCTACGCGGAGGGTAGGGGGGGATGCGTGACGTCAGCAGGCACACTGCGTGACGCTGCCGCATGCGGGTGACATCACGGATGTGACGTCACTGCTCACTTGCCGTGCAAAATATATCCATTATTGCGCCCCCCCCTCCCCCAAATACAAGTCTATTTTTATACTTTTAGCATTATGTACAGTCTGGAAGCTACCCACATGCCAAATTTCAAGTTTGTTACATGTCAAGGAAGTATGCTAAACATTTCGAACAGACACACATATTCACAAATTTCCCTTTTATATATATCGATGAAAAGATGAGCGCTCAGCAAAGCAAGCAGGAAGGCGTAAGTGTGTAGTTTAGCAGCTCTGCCGGGCAACCTATCAATAACCTTTCCAAGTTTTCTCAGGGACGAGTCGCCAATAGCGAAACAGCTCTGTACTGAAGTTGTATTCACATCGGGTAACTACAATAATTCCTGTTGCCTCCGTGTCACAAACATAGACAAACGGAGCCGATGTAAAAGTTTTCGCAACCCCGAGCTGGACAGCGTTAAAAAGCCACGAGTCTATTCTTGAATTGATCCAAGCTCATCTGTGCAGTGATACAGTTCGGTGTGTTGGCACCATGTGAACACGGACACGCCCAGACTAGGTACCTTTTCAGCTGCGTCATCAGGGAGTGGTTGCTCACTCACCAAAGACGCATCTTCCTTTTCGGACAGCGAAGCATCCAGGTGCTGTGAAGAGTGACGCTAGAGTCATACCAAGCGTGCACTTAAGCACGGTGCAACAGAGACACGAAGGATAGCGTCCTAAAGTAGTTTACGTGCGTCTCATGAGATTAATAGGCATGATTTGGGACAAAATTTTATCGCAAAAAGTTTGTTCATCCGAGAAGGCATGTAAAAGGTCTTCCTCCAAAACATACCTTACGAGTACTCAAGTTCAAGTAAATAACTCGAGCCAATTTCACATGTTAAATGAATGGCTGATAGGCATCACCTTCACGGTTTGCATTACTGCAATCGAGACGTTGACGCTTTGCTCTGCCGAAAATTGGACGAATTGGACCCAGCTTCGTGTCTCCATGCTCAAACAAACAACGGTTCTAGATTTGAAGCTTTCGTGACTGCAAGGATTCATACTCTTAGTTCTTTCGGTAAAGTCACGTAGGTAAAAAATGAAATTAAAATTAATAAAATAATAAAATCACGACGTTTCGGAGGCAACACAAGCCTGTCTTCAGGTGGAACCGAGGCTTGTGTTGCCTCCGAAATGTTGTGATTTAATGTATTTGTTTTCCTTTTTTAACCTACGTGACTTTACAGAAAAAAACAAAGAGTAGAGTAGGGGATAGCAGCCTCCTCCAGCGCCGCAGGTAATGGCCACAGAGTCGGTCACCGAGGGAATGTGGTGGGGACGAGTCACCCTGGCACCGGGTTAAGCACTTGATGGGCCAGGGTGAGGAATGTGGGCCAAAGGTGAACGAGGGGACACGGGAAGAGTAGTTGAGAAACGTCTGGACAGTTCCCGAAGGGTGCGTGGTTAAGGGCGGAGCCAGAGAGGGAACAGGTGTAACGTAGCCTGGAACCTTCGGGAATATTCCAGAGGAAGGCGCGGCCGAGGGTGGAGCCAGGCCGCGCGAAGAAGGATAAAAGGGAAGCTCCGATCGAATATCAGGGCTGTCTGCGGGTGAAGTGGAATCCAAGTGCTACGGCTACGTCTCCGACATCGTGGGTCAGACAGCACGTTGGCTGCTCTGACCCGATTATAGTTATCCCGTATGCGAGAGAGATAGGTGTATTGTGGTCCCACGTGTAACAAGAGTGAGAGATCGGTGTAATTCGTCCCGTGTGTAACGGTGTTGCATAAGTGTAGAATAAAAGTTGTTACCTCCTAAATAGTGTCTCTGAAATGACTCACGACGCAAGTAACAGAATTGTACACAGCGTTGTGAAAGGCATTTTTCTTTCTTTCAACGAGACGCAACAAATAAAAGCATACACTCCACTGCAGCTTGTGCGCAAGGAAGTTCAGAGGGCTGCCGGTTACACCATCGCCACCGTATGATGTACACTGGAGGGGGGGAGGGTGGGGGGGGAAACCTCTTCCTTCTGAAAACTCGCACGTACCTCGTGAGCCTCTTCACTCGGAGGTGGGGACTGCTCAGGGGCGTCCCCCTGGTCGAAGCACAATTCCTCGGAGAGCGAAGCGACAAGGTTCTGCAAAGAACGGCGCGGTCACACGGGTGAACACGTGGGGGGGGGGGGGGGGGTCTTACAGCTAATGGTGCACCCCACACACAATGAGACAATTCACCCGGCCCAGCAATTTTGATGAATTGTCACGATTTTGATATGGCGATTCACTGCGACAATCTCATCTGCTGTATCGTTTCTTGTTTGTTTATCCCCCCCAAGTTGTTCGAACAGTTTCTGTTAGCTCCACGAAATGACTATTCGAAGAATAATTACATATTAAGCGTTAATGAACGAACAAACCATTCAATCTTGACTTAAAGCTTTCGTGACTGCAGGAATTAATATTCTTTGGGTCTTTCGGTAAAGTCACTTAGATAGGTGAGAAAGAAACTAATAAAAAACTATGTTTCGATCACAACACTGATGACGATCGCTTGTGTTGTGATCGAAACGTCGTAGTTTGTTATTTTCTTTCAACGAAAGACCCACAGAATATGAACAAACCATTTTTCTGAAATACTTATGTCACCAGTGCTCTTGATCGTAACTTTAAATGCTGTCTCATTAGTAAAGTATCAAACTCATCACATAGGTTTTCGCAGCCAATATTAAGATCCGTGTAAAAAAATGTTTGAGTTAAGCCACGCAATCAACATTCTAACTTTGTGTAATTTTATTATTCTGACTTCCTGGATTTTCCTGAAGATGGATGTAGCAGTTCGAAGCATAACGGCTTGTCCAATTGCTAAATTTTACGTGACAATTGTACTTCAACTCTACCGGTGAATGAGCTGAAAAAATTAATAATTGGCGCACTAAACGCTGGTACACTAGAGAATGAAATTAGTTTGCCTGTCAGGTGGTGAAGGGTCTTCACAACACAAATTTGGCCAGATGATAGATCACGACGTGGCCCAACCCAAAAATCAACGAAGCTTCAAACTCATTATAGATTTGAAGCTTTCGTGACTGCAAGGATTCATACTCTTAGGTTTTTTCGGTAAAGTCACGTAGGTAAAAAGAAATAATAAAAATAATAGAAATAAAACTATAAATTCTACTTTACCGTGTGTTGACATCCCCAGGGTTTAACAGTACTCTCCTTTATGTATTTGGATTGTCAACCAACACCGGGTAAAACAACATATGCACCTATTGTTCTCTTTGAGCCCCACCACCCCCCCAATACGTTCCATTCATTGGCTACCACATTCAGATAAGCCCCTCCCTCCTCCTCCCCCCTTAACTTGTATTTAAGAGCTTGTCTCTTCGAATTTTGCCTCACTTGATACAGTAAATCTAGCTGTGACGGTCCCACCTGATGACGGAGACTTGTGTTGCCTCCGAAAACGTCGTGATTTATTATTTTATTTCTATTATTTCTATTTTTATTATTTATTTTTACCTACGTGACTTTACCGAAAAAACTTCAAACTCATGGTGGACACCGTAGGATGCCCCATCCTAGGTAACATATTGAGTTGTTTATTTCATTCATATTGTCAGGTCACAGGACATAATGCAACAGTAAGTTTGCGTAGAGGGCGACATGACCGATGTGTTTTTTTTATCATACAATGGATCAGAATATCGCCATTTAGCAGCGGCAACCCTGTACCTTAACCCTGGGCGAGTCTAATAAAACACTGCCGCAAGCCCGACCGGGGGTGGAAACTGGTTGTTCTTTTTAAAATGTAACGCCGCACACCGAGGTTCCCAAACACACTGGGGAAACATTTAAACGATCAAGATAAGCGCAACTGTGTCGGTCTCTGTGGTTGTATTTCATATCTGGGAACTGAAGAAGCTGAAAGTTCACAGTATGTGGAACAAAGTAAACATGGCATGGAACAACACACAGATACACCGCAAAAACATTAGAGGGCAGAGATAAGAGCCCTACAGTTTTTTGTTTGGGTTGCGTCTCCCATTAAAGAGGAATTGTACAGTTATATTTTTTTATTTTCATGCAAAAATAAACAAAATATGTACTTTTTACTTACACCACATTTTGGTAAATATAATAAAACTAGTTTAGTGTGTTGTACTTCCCCGCACCTCCGATGAGCATAGTTGGCTACGTACGGTGCAAAAGAAGTTCAAACATACATACAAAACTCATGTTCCTATGGTGCATTACGAGCTGTCATGCAATGGCTTCGTTATTAATCTGGCTCAGGAGGCATCGGAGAAACTTGATGTCTTTTTTAATCCTTTATATTAAGTTCGCTTGCTTGCTTGCTTACGACCGTGCAAATCTTTCGGTCGTTTTTTAACCCACTTTCCGTGATCCAATCGAGCTGACATTTTGCACACAGACTCGTTGTGCGAGACAATTAATGTTCGTGAATTTTTTTTCCCAAAATTTTACACTGTTTAGGGAAAACAAATTAAATATTTAATTACCAATTGCTTAATACTGGCAGACAATCATCTGACCCATAGGTGGCAGCCATCTCAAGCCAGAGGACGAGAGGACTCTAGCTGCCACGCATATAAAGGATTTATAGTGAAAAACTTAGTTTTTACGGGTTATACTTATTTCCTATGCCAATGCCTCTAACACCAAACAATTATTACCTCCGCATAGCACGGTTGGCTATATACGGTGCGAAATAAGTTCAGCATACTTACATACATTACTTTGTTAAAAAGCACAGATTTAGTTGAAGTTGGAATAATCCTGCTGTCGTGTCTGGGATGGAGCACCCAATGGCTACCTCACCGCACTTGACAGAATTTAGAGTAAAGCAGCAGTGAGGGGGATTGATGATCCATCACTCACCGAGTCACACCAGTCACTCGCTCACTTCCTATCACTCTTCTATTGCGACCGGCATTATTGGGGCACCACATTGGCGAGATGTTAACTAACTCGCCTGGTATACAGGTCATGGATTCCATACGAGTCCTCCAGTTTTTCCCTACACATTTAGAAAACACGTGTTTAGAGTATTTGGTTGTACTACATTTCCAGATGATGATAATCCACTTCATTGAGCTATCATCTATGATAGCCTGGTCGCTCCTAAAAAAAGGAGCTATATAGCTCAGTGAGCCTTACCTGCTAGACTAAAAATAGATTAGTTTTAGTTTCGATGATTACCATTGTAATGAACTTCACCCATTGACTGCCTCACCCATGTAGAGAACTCAAGTCTAAAGAAGAACAGGGCTGTCTTTCTGACAGCCCTGTTCTTCACCTGAGGACGGCTGCTTGCGTTGTGGCCGAAACATTGTGAGAATTGTATTTTATTAAGTTTTATTTTATTATTTTATTATTTCCCTTCTACGTGACTTTACCGAAAGAACCAAGAAGATGAATCCCTGCAGTCACGAAAGCTTTAAATCAAAATTTTAAGGTTTCTGTTACTCAATAGCTACTATTAGGCATTAACACATACCAATTAAATAAATTTGTCACCAGCAAACATTTTCTAGATTTCATTCTTGGTGAAGTGCAATCTCCAACTCCGACCCAGTCCTCTCTGGCCTCTCTATCCATGCGCTACGATGAAGGGACATTTCCAGCAATGTCACACATTGCACATTTTTCCTTTCGAGGACGCACGTTGTCGTTATTATTGACGAATGCGTCGAGTCCTTTCCATGTCCGTGCACCGCTGCCAACGCAGCGTCACCAAGTGAAACGGGTACCTCGCAAGCTGCTTTGCCAGTTGGCGGGTGCTCACTGCCAGAATTCTCCTCTCCCTCGGTGAATGTCGCGTGCTCGGGCAGCGACGCGACCAGGTTCTGTGTGGAACAGAGCTGTTGTCAAGACCCGAGTGTCGTCCGGCACAGCTTGCGTGCGCAATGGAAACACGTACGTATGTATGTGTACTGTATGTTGAACTTCTATCGCACCGTACGTCGCCAACTGTGCTATTCGGACAGGGAAACACGACCAGAAGCAGAATTTTCTCTGCGTTATGAATACTGCACACATTGAAATTTTGTGTAAACAATGCGTCACGACCGAGCACTTTACGTGCTTAATGTGTATCGCAAGGTTTACTAATGTGTGTTAATTTGCAAGTAAATACTATCGATTTTAGTAACCTGCAGAAGAAAATGTAAGTTAACATATTTCAATATCAAAATTATCTCTCAACAAGCTTCATTTCACTGTCATGGAACACTGTTTTATCAATACAGATTTATTTGAATTTGGATGTTTTTCCAACATTAAGAATTCCTAGCGCAACAAAAAAGGCACATTATCTGTGATACATATTTCTCATTTTTTCCAATTCTCCATTTTCTTGCCCTTGAACTAAAACTGTGTCCCCGATAGCGATCATACAGCAGTTGATAGACACCTGGCGGCAATCATTACCTGTAGCCCTTGCCAGTCTTCATCCTGGACGTGTGACGCCACGTCCGCCAGAAGCCTTCGGAGGAACAAGTTCTCCTCCCTCTGTCTCTGCACCTCACCCTGCAGCTCCTCGATCATCGACGTCTTCTGCGAGGAGTAATCGTCCTCCTCTTGGCATCGACTCTGCGCGTCGTCGCTGTCGCCCGCCTGCTCCGTGGACACCGCGCCCTCCCGGTCCTGGTACTCGTCGCTGTTTTGCTCTTCCCTGGGAATTTCGTACGCGTCGCCGGAGAGGTGGTTTCGATCGGCGGAGGCGCGCCCTCCTGGCGACGACGCCTCCTTGTCCTCGGACGAGCCGCAGCTCTCGTTCTCGAGGTGGCGGCCGCGGCGGCGGCGGCTCCCGTCCTTGGGCCCTGCATCGTACATCATCTCGCCCTGTGTGTGCTCCAGGTGCTGCGCGTCCATGCTGTCCGTCGAGTCGGCGTCTTCCAGTTCGCCCATCAGGCAGCCGTCCTCGTCGTTCTCGCCGTCGTCGTGACCCCGCAGGCCGCTCGCAATCCCGTTGCTGTCAATGTCGTAGCAGCTGCCCTCGCGGCTCCCGGGGCTCTGCGCGATATCGCAGTCCTGTTGGCCGTGGCCATCCAGGGAGATGTCCTGCATCCCTCGGCCCAGGTACTGCGAGGCGATCTCAGTGAGGTGGTGATGGGACCCCTGGTTCTCCTTGGGGTCCCTGGGGAAGTCAGGAGGGCCGCCGTGGGGCTGAGGTGGCTCCATGCCTTGCTGCCTGCACCTTCGCCGCTGGTTTCCTATCCAGTTCTGCAAACAGAGAATAAGTTGACTCAATAATTGAAATGTTACGCGCTCAGGAGGGCATCGCCAACTGCGTGTCAACACTCATTTCAAATGAGGATCCCGCATTGGGGTGATTGATGCATTGCACGAGTACAAGTACAGCCCCTGTGCCAATCCACTGCTGGATGAGGGCCTCCACACGCTATGCGTCACGGGGGTCATTTGACCATGCTTGATCACCACATTGGTGGGTGCGGGTTAATGAAGTCGTCGAGCATAGTTGTGTGAGCATATGAGTACGGTGTGATTTTGTTGTACTGCTCTCTGCCAACTGTTTGTGCATGGTGGTCACTCACCCAAGCACTAACACCAGGCTGCAACCTGCTTAGCTTTATATGTGTAAATACGTGCTTGCTATGTGGAAATTGACACCATTGCCAACGATACGTTCAATCTCGAGGGATTTACGAGACGAACGAATTTAACAAAATCAACAAAAAATATCTTCCGAGACGTGATGAAACTGGGGGCCTACGGGAAGTGTTCACCGTAGGCAATGATTCATTCATTAACGTGTAGCAACTCGAATATTTTTTTTACAGAAGTTTGTCAATCCACTACTGGACAAAGGCCACCCCACGGTGTAATCGGTCATGGAGGATTGTTTGACCATACTTCACCATTCCAGTCAGTGCGGGTTAGTGAAGGTGGGGGGAGCTAGGACTAAGTTCAGATATATCACTTGCCACTGGTTTAGCCATGGCCCGGGATTAAACTCAGGTCAACAGGTTGATAAGAGATGGCGTTTTAAATCACTGCCAAACCGCTCCACCTCCCGAGCACCGAAAACGGTGGACTTCACATGGATGGACTTTGTATGAAAACATAATAACGTAGGGAATGGCACGCGATTCAAAATTGCACTCCATTTTAATTGTCCGATGCACCGTGAGGTTGAGGCTCCAGCGGTCTCACCTTGACGATCTCAAAGTCAATGTTGAGCTCGTTGGCCACAGACTCGATCTTCTCACGGCACACAGTGCCCAGGCTGGTCATACCGTTATCCCAGTAGCGTTTCAGCATCACCAGGTCTCGGGGGCTGAACTGCGTGCGGTCCTGCATCTGGATAAAAAGGGGCGCCGTGGTGGCGAGATGTTAACTACCTCGCCTGGCATACAGGTCGTTGGTTCGATCCCAACCCGGAAGCCTGTCCTCTGGTTTTTCCCTCCACATTTAGAAACGTGCATTTAGATTATTTGGCTGCTATGAATTTCCACATGATAAGCCACTTGTGGTTATGTCGCTTCTGAAAAAGAGCTATGGAGTTCAGTGGGCCTTACCTGTTAAAAAAAATTGAAAAGTCGGTAATATAAATGAATGGGTCCCATTTAAATTTGGGTGCGAGAATTGTACTCCAAAGTAGCAGTTAGCTGAAACAATAGTGATTGTAAAATTTTCATTTAAAGCTTTCGTGACTGCAGGGATTCATATTCTTATTTCCCTTCTACGTGACTTTACCGAAAGAACCAAGAATAATGATTGTAGTTGTTTATATTTGTATTGTTTACTATTACTTGTGTTTCTATACACAGCACTTTGAGTTGAAATGCCATGAAGGAACTTTATTAATTAAAGACTAATGTTATGGTTATAATTGCCGCGTGAACTGCTTGTGCACGAGACAGTGAAATTTGTTTGTCTGTTAAGTCAGGCGGTGGAGGGACTTTTGACTGAAATTTGGGTAGATAATTACGTGGCCTTCCACAAAAGTGTATGACAAAGCGTACATTTGTTCAGCGTTTCCTGTTAGTCTAGTCGACGGCATCTCTCAATCCACTGAACTAAACCAGTCAAAACTATAGTCCACTCATAGTTATTAAATGTTGAGTGTGAGGGGAAACAATTTCACCCCACCACAATATTATCAAGTCAGCAACTCAGTATTTCTTTCTCTACACAAGTCAAGCCAATAAACATATTTGGCCTTCCTTAGTCTCTACTAACATTACAAATTCATCTTAGGTCTGCGTCTGCATTTTTAGACCAGTTGATTTAATCTCTTTGAGTGATAATTAAGTCTTATGTCGATAGCCAATCATTATCGTGCTTAATGATTTTCATTCATTCAGTGAAAATAAAAAAAACACACAAAGACACTTTGTTGATGAATATTTCCATCACAACCACCATGGTGGCCCCAGTGCTCTCTGTGACTGGCAAAGTTTTCATCCACATGGTTCAGGCATTTATTGATATCTGAAAGCCACAGTAAGTATCAAGAACCTCTTTCAGGCAAATATTGCATTGGGAGGTTTGGCCATGAGCGTTTTTTTGGTTAGATCGCGTAAATATAAATGTGTCTGTCGTTAAACCCACCACAACCCGACACAGCCAATTAGTAAGGTTCGTCACGTAAACAAAACATGGCAATTCTTTACGAGTACAGCACACCGGTGTGTTCGAGAGTAAACTCACAACATTTACAATTCGAGTACGATGTTTCGCCAGTAATTACAACTAGCATCAGGCGACTGCCAGAGTTGTGGAGAAATCCTCTTGTTTCAGTCTTAATTAGAGGGATAAATGAGATGTTGTCACAGGTGAGCAAATCAGGTGTGAAGACCAGAGGGGGGTGGTTAATGTGTGCACATAAATTACAATGGATAATCCATTAATGGTTGGGTTATTCATAGGTTTGGCCAAGTTCATTTTGGAGGGTGTTTTCAGAGCAGGACTAAACGAGGGTACGCAGAGGAAACCCACGCATACAAGAAGAGTTGGCACAGCCATCTCCCGACCACCTACCAACCCCCTTGCCTCCAAAAGTGCTGGATATTTTAGGCATGAAACCGGTGCGCGTTATGAACAGTCTAAATAAATCAGCGGTGTAGCTATCGAGCGAGTAGACGGTACGACTACTACAGCAGGGCCCACCAGCCGGAGGAGCCAAGGAACCAGGCTACATAGGAGAAGGAAATTTGAGTGCCCCCCCCACCTCGTACCACGGCCCATGACAACCACGCTACGTCAGTGGTCTAGACGCTCCACCAGAAGGAGGATATGCATCACGAGGGCTTGCAAAAGAAGGAACATGTTTTCGAAGTAATTTTCAGAGAGCAAGGTGTGAGGTGCCAAAATAAATGGAAAATTGTAAAATGTGGCAATGATGACAAATTGCAGAAAGAGAAAGCCAGTCATAAGAAAAGGAGAAGAGGATATTTTCTCTCTTTGACTGCCTATGACTAAATGTCTCTCAAAGAGAAACATCTAGTCATAGACATAGCAGAATAGGATAGTCTAGAGATTAGACTTGAGCATAATAAATACATTCTTTCTTGGCCTTAATAAAAAAAAGCATAAAAAAGTTAACACATTTTCTTTCGGGAGGATCCTGCAAAGGCATGTTTGGCCGATGTGTATCTTTTGTTGGACATATTTAGGTGAGAGAGAACATCGGAGAAAACCCACATGAGGGTATTTATGTTCAAGGACCAAAGAGATAGGTCAGTAACCTCCTTAATATACTACCTCTTACAGAGACCCCCCACCCCCCATCTTGACCCTGCAAGAGGCAATCTCATTCAAATGATGGTTCCATCTCTGTGAGGTCCACCAAACCAACATGCAAGCCGATGCATTACAATCATTCTCCATAGTCACTGCCATCCACGGCGTTCAGCGGACACCTCAATTTTCCATTAAATACAAGTGCATAAAAAACCTAAGCTGCGCCGATAAAGAACACAACTACCGCTATAACGGAAGATTTATGTTTGATGTCATTATGCCTGTAATCCCACCATGCATGGGCTAGAGCAGATAGGACCGACCCGCTGTGCGATGCTAATCCCATTAGAAAGCCGTTGCGGGCTTAGCGAGCTCAGCTTAACTGCCTCACCTACGGAACCCCGTAACGGGGATGAAAATGTATTTTGACAGGGCGACTTAAACCGTGCACTCTAATGCCATTGCAGAACAATGGGCATCAGGCTCAGCTAAAAGACCTCTGTGTCACGTGTTGCGTGAAATGGCCTGCATACGATCCAATCGGTCCACCAGATGAACACGTAAGGTCAGGAGGGGAGGGTGGGTGGAATATATGGGGAATCGTGCGCCAAATCTGTCCCGAGTCCTCGTTTCATAAGAGCACCATCGATTCGGAACGGCCCACACCTGATATTTATCCATCACTGAAATTAGCTCGGTTGCACTAATGGGGTACAAGAGGAGAATATGTAAAGCTGGCCACAACACTGCCTTTCTGCATTTCGCATGCTCAGCCGTCACCTGCAAAGGTCAGCCACGAGAATATTTTGCATACAAATTTGGAAAATGCTAAAGTGTGTGCTAATGTGTGTTTGCTCGCCAAAGGGATTTAAAAGGCTTATTACACCCCCATTAATGTTAAATAACTATTTTTACTTTACGAGGTAAGGCCAACTGAGCAATATAGCTCTTTTCCAGAAGCGATCTGGCCACAAGCGATAACCCACTGAAGTGGCTTATCATGTGAAAATGTATAGCAGCTAAATAATCTAAACACACGTTTAGAAATGTTCCCAGCCCATGGCATACAAACTAACGTGCAGGTGCAGTGATGTAGAGATTGTGGCAAGCTGTACAATGTATCCTTACCACTCTCTTTCTTCCAGGTGACAGATAGGGCATTCCACCCAAGCCAACATTCAGCAGGTATGGCTGTTGAAACAAGTCAAACTTTCATTCAAGACAATTACAACACAATTTTGATTGAAATAGCATCTACAAGCGACTGGATCTCAAGACGTGGTATTTTTTTTTTATCAAGGATATCATTATGATCAACCAAGAGTACAACAGTGCTTTTTTCACTTTAAAAAATCCGTGTCATGTGTGTTATATATCAATGCACCCTTTGGTCAACGTGGTTTTTCACGCAATGTTCATGTGCTGTCCACATTCCTTAGCCAGTGTTAGAAATTATACATTCCTATGCTGGGGATAATTGAATACAAAGAGGATCACTGCTGAATTATCTTACAGTAATCATTGTAACAATAATTTATAGTTATTGCTCTGCATCTACATTAGCCATACGAAAGAAGAAGATTGTATCAACCGTGCAGGGATGATATACTTAGTCGACCTCTATCCACTGCAACATATGTTACCATTACATCACCATTGTCAGCAGAGGTCGCAAACGGGTTTTGATTCTTTACCCGTACCCGGCCGCATCAGGGTCGCAAACGGGTACCCTACGCGATACCCGGCCGGGTACGGGTAGCCGGGGATCGGGTAGGGTACGGGTATCGGGTACCCGATTGCGACCTCTGGGATGAAGCCATGTTGCAGGCGCGGGTGGGTTGATTCTAGGAACTTGAATTGTGAGAAGAGACACGACGTTGGGAAATGAGTGACAAATGGTTACTCTCCAGTGACTCACGGCCTTTTCACTCATTGGTTGGGGTGAGTCACGTGCGGCTACCCGTACCCGGCCGGGTACCCGGCCGGGTACGGGTAGCCGGGTATCGGGTAAGGTACGGGTATCGGGTACCCGATTTCGACCTCTGATTGTCAGTCATGGTAAATTCACTGCTGGATGAAGGCCTCCGCAAGTCTCCTCTTCCCTCCCTCCCAAGGTCACCCTTGAAAAAAATATTTTTAGCCAAATGGGCATTAACACAGGTGAACATTGTACTAGCTCCTGCAGATTAGCTGATTTCACGACTCCATCTCCACGGTGGAAGTCTTCCTCAGGCGTCTCTTCCATCCTTTGCCTGCCACGCCATCATTAGTCTCGACCATCTAGTTTGGCGAAGCGTCCTGCCCAAGCTAACTTCACTTTTCTCATGATGTCTAAAACCCGCGTACATTCTCCAATCCACATGTTGCTCTTTCTGTCTCTCAATATATTTCACGCAACTTCTGCACTTTCTTTGCCTTTCTATAATTTGATTTGTAATTTTTCCTTGTTTATGACCCATGGGTCACAGCAGGAAGTGCACACTTATCAACTCCTTTCTTCTTTAGGCACATTGCCATGCTGCTTTTCATGATTCAAGTTCAGCTTTTGTAAAAGCAATCCAATGTGCTCTCAACGACTTTCAAGGATTTTAATTGGGAGGATCCTGCATTATGATGTTTGGTCTATTTAAGATGTATTTTGTTACATGGAAGGGAAGCAAAGTAGCCGGGGGAAAAACCAACCACGTAAATTATGGGATTCAGCTTTTGACCAAATCACCCGCAATGTGCCCAAGTCTGCTCAGATCTCGCAAGCTACGCAGGGTTGAGCCCGGATAGTGCTTGGATAGGCCACTGCTATGCACAACAGTTGTTATCGTCTACCATGGGACTACGTTGCATTTACCAACCCGGAATGACCAGCATGGTGAAGTATGGTGATAACTCCCATAACCCGCATAGCGTGGGTAGGCCCTCATGCAGAATTGAGGATAACACTAAAGATTCCATACAAATTATGGGGTCACATCCCATTTTCTACGCTCACGTCTACTGCCACCTTACATTCCGGTGGATTTGAGAGTTGTAGAAATCTCTCCATCATCTACCAACCCTTGCCCTCCAAGGCGTTTGGCCACGGGCATTTGGTGGAGTGCCTCCACTCGGTCGACTCAGCCTAAAATGAGGGTCCCGATTCAGTCACTGTGCCCGGTTTAATGACATTTGCTTCGTCACTGAGATTGCAAAATAATGAAGTAAAATGAGAACAAACACAAAAATAAACTTGTGACCCCCTTGGGAATAAAAATAAACACGTTATCTTTCTCAACAGCAGGAAGCTAAAGTTCCTACGCATGTCTCAATACTGTTCTGAAACACGTAACCTTGTTTCTCAATCATCTACAGTTTTAGTTTTACCAACAAGGAAAAATGTCCGGTTTGAGTAAAAGGTTTTTTTTTGTTCTTCTGCTTGCATTGCTACTTCCTCCACAAGTGTAATCTGCACCCAGGCAATTTTTTACTCACGAATGGCTAACTGTTTGGTTTTTGCCGTACAACTGTACAATACAAAAAAAAAACGCTTAACTTTTTAGACTAGGTAATGTTTCCACTTTTCCCTAAAATATATATCAACACAAGTTAACATTTAAGAGGGTACAAAAAGTACAATACCGGGCCCGTAAATAAGTAAATAAATCACAGCGTGTGCACACCTATTGCGGAATTCCTAAAATAGGTAAAACCAAACTGTAACTTAATTGGGGCTCCACCTGACATTGAGAGTCAAAAATAAAAGTTAGAGGAGGCTGAGTGGTCTAAAAGAGGGGGGGGGGAATATCATGTTCGAGTACTGCAACTGGCACCTTTAAGACCCCGAGTTCAGCTCTATACTCTATGGTTCTTTCGGTAAAGTCACGTAGGTAAAAACAAAAAAAAATCACCTACGTGACTTTACCGAAAGAACCAGAGTATGGATACTTGCAGTCACGAAAACTTCAAATCTCGAATTTAGTTCCACCGCTCGCGATGAAACTGCATTCCCAAGCGTTGGGAGTAGTTCACAACCTGGCAGAAGTCGTAAACGGGTTTTGATTCCTTACCTACCCGTACCCGGCCGCAACAGGATCGCAAATGGGTACTCGTACCCGACACCCGGCCGGGTACGGGTTACCGGTATCGGGTAGGGTACGGGTATCGGGTACCCGATTGCGACCTCTGGGATGAAGCCACTGTTGCAGGCGCGGGTGGGTTGATTCTAGGAACTTGAATTGTGAGAAGAGACAAGACGTTGGGAAATGAGTGACAAACGGTTACTCACCAGTGACTCACGGCCTACCCGTACCCGTACCCGGCCGCACCAGGGTCGCAAACGGGTACCCGTACCCAGCCGGGTACGGGTAGCCGGGTAGCGTACGGGTATCGGGTACCCGATTGCGACCTCTGCAACCTGGTCACCAATAACTGCAGAAGACACCCCCGAAATAAATCATTTTACTTAATTCAATGCATTACATAAATGATTTATAATAGATTTTTAGGTGATGCCATGCATTGATCTGGCCTATTTTGTGTCGTTAAGACCCTCCCACTAGCTGATATAGCCAAAATAAAATTAACCGTCACATATACACGTGCCTAATTCGCCAATTATTGTTTCAACTCACCGGTGAAATGAAGAATTATCATAAAATTTAGCAATTAGATAAGATTTTTGCAGACAACTACGTGGCCTAACAATTGTGAATCATATTGGCTGGAATTTCGTAGGCCTTGGCAGTTCCCAGTATTCACCAATGGATATATTCTCTCGGTAACCACGAGGCTGTGTGGAGCACGTTCTCTAGCCTCCAAACAATCCCCTCCCTGCTGTACCGCTCAACCAACGTCACATCAAGGACAGACCAGAGAGATATACGTGTCCATAAATATGTAGCTTACAGGTTATATACATCACTTAAGACAGTTCAAAAACATGTCTAGTCAGAGCAGTTTGTCAATCAAAGTCTCATCCTTCCTCCTGGAAGGACTAGCCTTTGAGTAGGGAAAGGATGGAGTTAAGGGAGGGATCTTTAATCCCTCAATTCCCTACTATTCATGGGAGTGAATGGGCGGGAGTCTTGCCATTGGAAATGTGGTCTCTGCAAGCGTCCTAAGTAATCGGCAGAGACCACATTGGCAATCGGTCGGAAGAACAACCTTTCTGCACGTGCTCTCCACAATTAAAAAATAATTATAAAAAAATATATATGTTCAAAGAATAGACAGTGCACACGAGTCTCTTTCATGGGCCAAAGTGAGGTCAGTCCAGCCCTGTCCACTCTTTAAAAGTACAGTAAGGCAGGTGACATGCCTGAATGTATTCACTCTGTGCATTATCTGGTGGTCACCCAGAAGAAACACCTGTCAATAAAAGCCGTGGGTCTTGCCAGGCCACAATACATTTTACATCTGGGCTCGATTGACATGCAACAAAGCAAGTTTAATTTCAAAGTGTGCTCTCATATTGCTAAATACGTATCTGTAAACCCCCTATCAGTGCCTACATTATTACAGACCAATTCAGACCTTTTTGGTGACCTTATAAATCTCAAAGTCCCATCAGAAGCGAGAAACACAAACAAAGACAAAAAAATCATTTTTCCCCGTATTTAAACGGCTGTACGTCATATGGACCTGAAAACCTAATTTCCTTGCACACGGATACGGGTAAACCGTATGGGTTGACAGATATGTAAACAAGTCAAACTGAAGTGACTTAAGAAGTCGTTCTGTGCCGTTGTCTTCCGGGACCGCTCTCCACCACAAGGTGGCGCACCACTAGCTGCGCGGATAAATAGACAAAAATAAATATCCTTCTGTATAAAGTTACTGCTTTTACTATACCGTACTTGCCACTCCAATCTCGAAAACTGCATGGGGTGATGTACGTACTACCCTTGTTTCAATATCGTTTGACAATCGCCTGACTGATGCAGCCTTAACATGCAGGTTTTTCCGGATTGCTGTATATTTAGTTTTTTTATCACTGTAGTTATTTGTGATGAAACATGTATATACGTGCAGTATTGTTATGTCGTGTATAATGTATTGTATGTAATATTTGACACTAAAATTAAGCATATGTAATTTTTTTAAATCACGCACATGGTGCCAATCGCCCGACTGGTTCAGGCCTTTGGAGTGGTTTTGCCGGCTTCGCAGGATCGGCCCGGGATCGCCGGATGTTGGAAGCCGGATAATCGCGCGCCGGATAATCAATGATGATTGTTCACAGGCACGGTTAATCCAACATTTGTCCACGGACATTCAACCCTTACGTGTACACTTCAGAATTAGCCTAAGCTTTGCTGGCGTTCTGGTACCTGGTGGTGCTGTCCTGGGCTCTGTGTTCCAATGGGCAGGAATCCTTGAGTGAACGAGGTAAAAGGCGACACGGACTGGTGCGGCGTACTTCCGGACACGGCAACACCTGCAAGACAGCCACGCACGACTTGGGCATTCACTGTGAGGCACTAAAGCATTATACCGTCATAATGCAGTACAACAAGGATTTAAAAAAACATATATATTTTTTCTTTTACTAGGTAAAGCCCACTGAGCTCTATAGCCTTTTCAGAAGCGACCTGGCCACATACGATAGCTCAACAAAGTGGATGATCTTGTGAAAATATATAGCAGCCAATTAAACACATTCCTGCGGTGTGGCATATTCCGCAAATATGCCCGACTGTGAGGGCAGGCACAAGCCGGCGTGAGTAGGTTAAACGTTGAGTTTTATAAGGGCACCACAGGGTGACCAGCTCCTCCCCACCCCACCCAGCCCCACCCTCTCCACCCAGCCCCTCCCCACCCAGCCCCTCCCTGCACGACGGACACAATAATCCCCTGTGGGCTGGTGTAACCAGGAGGTTTACGACCAGTACCAAAACGCATGTTTCTAAATGTGAAGGGAAAAACCGTAGGAGCCGTAAAAAATGCACGCAACCACAGGGAGAGAGAGATACATGCAAACTCCAAATACACAACAGGAGTCAGGGTCGGGACCAAATCCACGGCCTCCTGTATGCCAGGCGAGTAAGATAACAGCTCTTCACTCCGGCACTCCAAATGCTATTTACCTAGTATGCAAATGCCACTGCATCTCATGCAAGATGGCGGAGGCTTTTGATTTGAAACTCATTTGTTTAGAAATGTATTGTGTTTAGATTGTTGTCCTTCCCCTGCACCTCCGATTAGCAAAGTTGGCTATGTACGGTGTGAAAGAAGTCCAACGTACATATACACAAAGGAACAATCGTTGCCATCAACAACGGCGAGCGCCACCGACGCAACGGGCGTCCTCACCGTCGCTCTTGGCGGCGTGCACGGAGGGGGAGCCGATGCGGCTCACGGACTCCGAGAGGCACACGAGGGACTTGGCCGCGCGCACCACACGGTCCTGCGCAGGGGAGAAGGGCTGCACGCGCGGGCCCGCGTCGCCCGTCTCGGCGGTACCACCACCACCGCCGCCACCGCCAACTGGCGCCACCACCGCCGCCGCCGGCACCACCGTCCCCTTGCTCCATCTTGGCGTCGTCGCCAGCGTCGTTGCCGTTGCGTTTGTCGGCGGCGTCCTCCTGCGCCCCGGCGTCACCCTCCTCATCCTCCTCCTCATCCTCCTCCAGGTCGATGTACTCCATGAAGCTCTCCTGAAGCTGGCAGCCAGATTGGGCCATCTCCTCCTCTCGCGAGTACTCATCCAAGTCGCCGGTCTCCATGGCGATGGAGAAGCTGTTGCCATTGCCTTGGGATCAGGGTTGTTAATTTCTTTTAGAGCGTTGTCGATAATCGCATGCACAAAAAAACTGCTAAATATTAATTTTTTTCAGCACGTAGTTTACTGAAACGTCCAACAATAAAAATGTACGTCCAGGTGCGTGTTTTTGTCTGTTTCAATGTACCATGCACTGACTGGCAAGCCGTGCCATTGCTGCCTTATGATGGCTGTCGCACGCCGTGTGATTTGCACGTTCTCACGTGCTGCCAATCGGTTCAATCCTTGCTGAAATTTGACCAAATTCGATTATCAATTCCATGACTTTGGAATTGATCATTGATTCCAAAAAATAATCACCAAAAAGTGATAACTGATGAACAACAGGACTTGATAGTGAGCAGATGTGGTCATTTTCGTGGCCCATAGTGGGCAGAGCTGGTCATGCAGCCTTTCCAATTAAATCTACAAAACTTTGCAAGAAAACATTTTTCGTGATAATATGCGATTCAAATATTGCTACGTTGAAGAGTTTAATTTAAAAAAAGTTATATTTATCTGTGCTTGCTACGTGCCACTTGATGAGTAATGGCCTTAACGAGACTTTAAGTTAATTGAGGTTAATGAATATATTAAATATTTAAGTTATTTGATCTCTTAGGTCATATCACCGACGAGTGATAATTGTGCTTGGAGATGACTATTTATGGTTGTCGTTCATGCTTTATAAAAAATACATGGCTAATGATGGCGAAATCCTGGACTTTGGAGGCAAGGGTTTGTGGATCACGCATCTAGAAGACATTGCCAAATCTTCTGGACTGCAAGGAGGTCAAGGAATTATCTGGGACGTTAACCCTTTGTACACACTATGGGTTGTCCACAGAGAGTTGCGTCTATATCAGACCGATTACAATGAAATGGACCAAACTTCAACAATGTAGGCCCCGGACAAAAAAATAGTAAGTTGAGACTCAGCGAGGCTTTCCTGAATAATAGAACGTGACGTTACTATAATTTGCAGTCACCTGCTAATCATTATACTTTTCACATCCGCGGGTGGCGAACGCAATTAGAGCTTTTGAGTGCAGGAAAATAAAACCGATTTAGTTAACCATTTTGACTAAAACCCTCAAAAGTAAGTCGAGGTTAAACTCCTATTTTCTAAAAAAATTAACATTATAACGCACCAAGGAGGTGGCTTGATTTTTGAATGTTGTTTGATAAAAATGTTCAATTTAAACCAATTCGAATCATTTAACGTGCATAGAGCCAATCGACTTTTTGGTCACGGAGGCTGCCCTCTGCTGGGCAATTCTCCAAGACATGGTAGCACTGATAATAATTATTGGCACGAAAAATAAACATGGATTGATTTATTATAATCAATCCATTATTATAATCCAATCCATCTTTATTTTACGTGCCAATATCGCCCTCCATAAAGCTGGCATCAGCACACATTACAGCAGAACGGGAACGGTATGGGGGGGGGGGGCACAGAGTAACATGAATTAAACCCATTACGCCCTCAGCTAACACAGACTGAGCAAAGGGAATTGCAAACCGCACACAAAATAAAGCACAACCAGGCACAACAAATGGTATTCCATAACGAATCTACGTGCAACCGCAACCTTTATATTTCTGTTTCAGGCAAGCACGACATGTGCATTTCCATTGATTAAACTATGTTCATTATTATATTGAAATTATTCAGCTGTGCACGTGATGGGCACAACGGTGGCCCATTTTCATGCACTCACCAATGTACGCTTCCTCGTCAATGCGCTCGCAAAAGACGCTCCCTCGTGCACATACAAAAATCTGAGTATGGGAATTGCGATTCCTGCAGGAATCATCGAGGGTAGAATCATAGATACATAATATTATTGCATTGAGTGTCCAGCTTTAGTTTACATAAGGCTTTAGTTCAAATGCAACGAGTTGCATTTGCATGAATAAATCGTGGCTTATAACCAAATCACCTAACGTGCCCCAATCTCATCAGCACACGGCAGCAAGGCTGGGTTGAGCCTTTATCGTGTTTGGATGGGTGAGCGCATTACTGCATGGCTACGTGGTGGGCAGCAGAGGGCAGTGCACACAATTCCACATTTGTTTAGTACTTCTACACTACCACATTTATGCTCCCCGCTTTCACCAGCCCGCAATTTATCAGCGTGGTGAAGTATAGTCAAACAACACCCGCATCTCGCATGGAGTGTGGAGACCCGAATCCTGCAGTAAGACTTAAAATTAGCATAAGGCTGTACATACAAAGGTATAAAAATACATGATATTTAAAATGTAACGATTTAATAGCACGATTGCTATTTTATACGTAATCATACTGCTTTTAAAAATAATCTATGCCTCAAGTTTTCTGGCTGGCTGCTGGCTGGACTACTTTTCCACCCCAACAAGAATGCTGTTGTTAATGGCTGTGGCCCGTTGCCACCACAACTAGCAGGGTAACTGGCTACATGGACTTTTAAGTGTAACAAATAAACACATTCCTGCGGAGGGAGCTGGTAGGAACGTTGGGTTGCTCGGTCAATGGCCTGCAGGGTCAACGGCGGCGTGGTGTATTCCGCAAATATGCTCGACTGTGAGGGCGGGCACAAGCCGGCGTGAGTAGGTTAAACGTTGAGTTTTATAAGGGCACCACGGGGTGACCAGCCCCTCCCCACCCAGCCCCACCCCTCCTACCCCCCACCCAGCCCCACCCTCCCCACCCAGCCCCTCCCTGCACGACGGATGGATGGACACAATAATCCCCTGTGGGCTGGTGTAACCAGAGGTTCCTACCAGTAACATTGAGTTTGAACGGTGGAAGACGTTTGGAAGACATGTAATAATATCGTGACATCGAAAAAGTGTGAGCAACAAATACAAAAGAATGACATGGATAATTTCAAATTCTGTAACTTTCCAGTGTCCTCATATTGATGTAAATATATTTACAGAATATTCTTTGAATCCTAGAGAATATAAAAAACATCACAATATATTTTATCTTGCCATTTTATTTCTCTTATTTTCCAATGCAGAGCAACAGATTCTCTAGTTGCAAAGAATAAGTTTACAACAAATGTAGTCACAGGAATGATAGTAACATTTAATGGATAATTCTTGTGATTAAATTTTTTTTAAATTATAAAATAACATGATATATAATAGAGCAGTGCATGTAAAATGCATGCTATGTAAATTGTTGATATTATTTAAGTTCCATTTTACATTTCCTTTTCACTTATAAAATAGCAATACTGATTTTTTAAAAGTTAAAAGTATGATATTCGTCTAACACGGTGGTTGTGTTTATTTTAAGATGTACTTTTAGAAAAACACGAAAAATTTCCAATGCGCTAAGCTCCAAAGAGGATTTATCTGTGATATAACTAAATCGCAAGGGACTCCACCAGTGTGAAGACAGCCAGCCTCACGTGGCTATGTGGTCTTGTAGAGGCACGCTTGCTGTTGAACACAAGCCTGTACCGGTTCACAACCTCATCCGAAGATTATTGTCTGTTACAGACAACAAGGCGACAACAAAGACGCTCTCAATAAATATTGCCAACCTAGCAATAATAATTGTCAACCACGTACCAAAACAACCTTCTGTGAACGGATTACATAACGCCCTCCGAAATGCGTTTGTCCTCAGAATAATTGTTAAAAATTAAATTAAGAGCAGGGCAGAGCTGATCCTCATCTGTCAGGGAAAAATGAGTTTGCATATTTGATAATAGAGTAGTCACTTTGGCTCCAGTTTGAGTTACCATATTATAGGGAACCATTTGATGAATATGACCAGGTTTTAACAATTTAATCAGGTAAATTCCTAATAGCAAAACAACTTTGCACTAAAATTGCATTCTTTACAAGTGTAGTGTCACCCCCCCAATTCCAATTCAGTAACGACTGCACAGCAAATGCTTCACTACACCTCCAGACCAAGTGCTCACATTTTTGTTTAAACTCACATTAGCATTGTACGTTATTTCTTTAATCAACATATACATTTTTGAGCCCTCAACATTTTCCTGTATATGAGACAACGTATTCTTTAAAGATATGACTGGGGTTTCGTTACTAAAACTGCTATACCGGGGCACTCCGTCCCTGAATCAGTTCAGCAGTTCCACTGCTGGATTCTATTTTTTCTGCCGGAGGACGACCGCTTGTGTTGCGATCGAAACGTCGTCATTTATTTTATTGTATGTCTACGTGACTTTACCGAAAGAACCAAAGAGTATGGATTCCTGCAGTCACGAAAGCTTCAAATCAAGATTCAATTAGCCTGTTATTGAGGACGAGGAAACAAGTGTACTTCTGTCATTACCCACAAGGGCCCTTTCCCACTCACCAGAGGCCGAGTTAGCTGATGGCTTGGTCTGCGCCGCTTGTTTGTAGTAGGAAGAGGCCGCTTTGCTGGTGGAGGGCCCGGCGCCCAGCGACACGACGTTCTGGATCTCCAGGTCGTACGGACCGTAGGACGATGCGCCGGGCAGCTTGGGCTGACCGGGCTCGCGCGGGCCGCTGTTCCGGCCGCCCAGCAGCTCGGCACCCCACTGCCTCGGCGAACTGTCCGGGCAGCGGCAGCAATACGACGTGGGGTTGAAACCGCAACGGTGACATCCAAATCAAACCTCAAAGCATTATGACTGGGCTACAGGAGCTATGAACACGAGGCACAAACACCGACCCCCACCGAGACTCCTCTGTCATGCGACTCGTTGTTGAAGGGCCCCTGGCCCCCAATAGATGTCCTGTGACGCGTTGGATCTGCCCTGGCTGTGCCTAGGAGTTCGGGGTTATTGGTGCTGGGCCCTGGCTACACTTTTCCCTGGGCTGTGCTTTAGTGTTGTTCTTTTATTTCATTTCTTCAATGTTTCCT